TATTCGATTTTGATCAAACTTAAAATATATGTCTATATTCCACGGATTTTTGTTTCTTTCCATATTCGCACATATCGGTCCGTAACCTCCTAGATTATGGACCCTGGGTGTACCAAAAATTACAGTTTATACCCGATTTTAAAAACCGTTTAAATATACACCGTTACACCCTGGGTTTGAATTTTGTGATAATCTGATCGAAGGCTGTGGCCCCTCTAACGATTTGTATCCGGTTTTGAAAAAAACTTAATATTATATGTTTATGTATCAAAGATCTCGGTTTGATGTTCGCGTATATCGGGCCTAACTTCTTGCCTTGTGGCCCCTATTTTACGAGAAATTGTAAGAATAATACTACGAGTTCTTGATGTGGAAATTTACACGGAAATATATATATATATATATATATATATATATATATAAGCAGGATCTATTTAGATAAGAAAGATATATCATATCATATCCCTAGCCATAAATAAATATTTCCGTGTAAATCATTTAATTGGTTAACATCAAATTGGTCAATATCAAAGTATATGAGTAAAATAATGTAAGATATTTTATACCCTGGCTTAGACAAGCTGCTGTAGATATTACATCAAATTAATAAGCTTATTATTACATTATGTAATATTTGAATCAATTTTTTTAAATTTTATTTAATTGTTATTAAATTTGTTTATTTCTGTCTTTTATAGTTTTTCTTATTCTCTTATTCAAATTTCATAGAATCTGATTCCAAACCCATCTAGCTTTAGTTTTACATTCTAAATATAGAGCAGTGTAATATGACACTTATACAATACACCATCTGAATAGATAATAATTGGGCTACAATTAATTGTCTTTGAGAGGTTGATGACAGGATTCTCTTCAACAAATCTTTGAGGTCACATTCCCAAACTTGAAGAAATCTGGCTGATTTCTAGTTGGTCTTAAGACTGAATAATAACGTAACGTATACAAATCTTCGAGCGGGAATTAAAGGATGTTAATTTACTGTGATATATTATAAATGACATGTGCTATATGAAGTATTTACATATGGTCTTTAGTGAAAGAAAACATTGTTGTGGCTACCATTCCTGGTTTTGAAGGTCAGATATGATATGAAAACGAATATCGGTTTGTAGGTTTTTTTTAACCGTTTCACCAGTGCAACCGAAGCGTGACCGGTTAACTGAGTAGCCGTATGCATCCTTAATTATTTGGCAATCAAGTCTACGATCTTTATTAAAAACGATAGGTTGGCAGGCAACAAAACATATGCACAAATATTGAAGATTAAATCTTGTACCTTGTCGAACTATGGACTAGTGGATATTAATGCTGGGCTAGTGCCTGACAGTAGACTACTAGCCCTGGGCTAGTGGATTCAAAAAAAATTTTACGCCCCTGGTTCAACATTTATAATGCAACTAATTTTGACTGGGTGGGCACCAAAGTCTTGAACAGCTCTGTATTACAGTGTATGTCAACAAATTATCTAATTCTTTACAAAATGTTTATTATATTGGAAAAACAAACCGGAATATTTTCTAGTCCCCTGAAAAAACGACAACTTCAGTAAAATCCTACTGAAAAATAAATTTGTAAACGGGAAGAAAGTCAATTCTCAGTCTCCTGAATTGCTGAATCCCACGTGGGAATGCAACACTCGATTGATGCGAATGTAGTTCCAAAGCGCTTCATTAATACTTATAAGGTTGATTTTATAATAAACATGAAAAAATGAATATAAAATAAATAACTAATACAAATACCATAGGCCAAGATGGTCTGTGGGCGAATGATGTAAAAGCAATTTTGCTGCGTAATCTTCGCAGGAAGAGAAAACCACAAAAAATGGCGGAATGAAAACGCAATGGATTTGTAAATTCTAGAAAATTCCAAGGACTATTTTTTTTCTAATGTGTATTTTCAATTACTTTGTAGTGATTACAAGGTCTTGGCGATGTTGGCAAGGGGCAAATTGTGGTGAATACAACTCAATTTTCTTAATTATTATTGAAATACCAACCTGCAGACGGTAGCCATGTTTAGATTGTAGACCCCGGATGAAAAATTGTCTGGTATAAGAAATAGTTATCCAGACGTTAAAGTATATTGGGATTTAAACATATACAACGTCTGGATAATGTGGAGTTACGGAGTCCCTTATATCTACAACAAAACCAAACAATATCGTAAGCGACATTATCATTATGCTAAAAAAAAAAAAAATCTTCATTATGTTGGTGGGTGTATTTGTTGAACTGGGTATTAAATTACCCGCTAAAAATATAATATTACGCACATATATTTCCGTGTTTTTTGGTCTGGTGAAAGATAGGCCTAATCAGATTTTAGGATTTAGTCATTTTGACATTCACGCTGCAACTACAAGTGCAATAATTAATTGGGACGAAAAACCGAGGTCCTTGGCGTGCACGTAAAAGATCCCTTGGCAGTTGGAATTCGAGTCCGGCTTAAATTTCCCTCATACACGTGTCCAACATCAGCAAAAAAGCAAACTTTCATCTGTACAATATTGGAAAAATTCGACCGTTCAATACCACTAAAATTACCAATCTCTTGATAACTGCTCGTTATTATACTCTCTGCCAAAATACCATCAAGACAAGTACATGATCAACTACAAAAAAATTCAGAATAAGGCTGCCAGTAGCTGAACATATTACACTTGTTTTAAAAGATCTTTACTTTACTAAACGTTTATATTCTTTATTAAGCACCACAAGAGCAGTCAAACTGACTGAATGTTCAGTGCTCTAGAAAATTATTATTATTATTATAACACACTATTTTAACTAAGGTACACATGGTTCAATTGGTTGCATTTTTCAACCTACCGTATTTCTAGCTACTTATGTTATTCTCATAACGTACCGTACAATGATTAGATTTTTCTTTTTCAGAAGTACCGGTAGTGCAACAGAATGTCATCGATGAAATGGCGTTTATTTACAATGACAACCTGACCAACCAGCTGACAGATACATCTGATACATTGAATCAATCCCAGGAATTCTTGGAATGGGATATTTCAAACCTAGATACCTCAGCTTTACCAGGATTACAAAATCCAATCGATTTATATTTGGAATGTGATGATGATGATTGTTACTCTGCACCACCACCTACTTATCCAATTACTGGTCCATCGACACTGATTGGACAAAATGTTCATTTAAAGATTTCCTTTCCACCCAATACAGAGTCTAGCTTGAATAAAAACAATTTATTTTCCTGTCAAGAATGTGAACAGAGATTTAAAAGTGAAAAAAAAGTTAAAGATCATATGAAAGCATTTCATAAAATTGAAAAACCATATAATTGCTTGAATTGTGAATATTCATCAACATCTTTAAAACTTCTCAACAGACATAAAAAAAGATGCAAAAATGGAATGACTATTAATAAAAGTGATGCAATCTGTAAGGCTCCAACTGTTAGTTTTAGGGCTACACCTGAAACTTCAAATAAAGAACAATTGCATGAAGTGGAAAGGGAGATAGATAATTCATCCGATATAATTATTTCAACTGGTTTAATTAATAGTTTGTTGGAAGACAAAATCAAAAAACCTTTCAAGTGCAATGATTGTTCATTTTCAACTAAATCAAGCAGTTTGTTAAAATCACATGTTCAGACTGTTCATGATTATAATCGAGAAATGTTTAACTGTACCATATGTAACTTTGAATGCAAACAAAAGAGAACTTTAATGGACCATATATTATCTCATGATGACAATTCTCAAGCATTAGTCTGTGACATTTGTAAGAAGACCTATATATCTCATGAAAAATTAAAAAGACATCTATTAACTCATTCTACTGAGCGACCATTTGCGTGTGTATTATGCTCCAGTGCTTTCAAGATGCAAGGGAGATTAACTGATCATATAAAATCTGTCCATTGTAAAGCTGTTAATTTAACTAAAACAAAATTGGTTGTATGTAGTTGGCAAAATTGTGATAAAATATTCCGTGATAACTTTAATATGAAACTTCATTTAAAAACTCATGCAATCTGAAACTTAGGGTGGGGGATTTTACATGATGGGCTAAGCCTGTTTCCCAATCCCATTCAGGTATCCTGAATAAAAATATTGTTTTAAAAAAAAAGCCCTGAAACTATTTTTAATTTTTGTTTGTATACAGGTTTGCTTTTCATGTTATATGTCATTTTCATTTATGTGCAAAACACATCTGCAGTGGCTCAGTGAGTAAGAAATTGGCCCGCTAAACTGGAGTTCCCATGTTGATCCCAGTGTTGACATAGAAAGTTCATTGGGATTTTTTGGTATGGTTCCCCTTTGTCAGTGATGCATGACAGAGGGTCTATCAAGGGACAATGTATAGTCGTTGAGATGGGACAAAAAAACGAGGCCCTGTGTACAAATTGGCGTGCATCTAAAAGAACCCTTGACAGTTGGAATTCGATACAAAAGTAGGCTGTAGCACCGCTGTTTGGGCAAAATTTTCCTTACAGCACACTGTATGGCATATGCCCCGCTTTATTAGCTCATTCAGAGCAAATCAGTAGGATGTTAAACCCCTAATGACTTATGGCCGTTTTTCTTTTAGTCTTTAGAAGTGGAAGAAAGATGTAGCTTTCTAGTTTTATTTTTCTGTACCGATCAAAGTGAAGGGAAGGGATGTTTAAGAGGGCTCCGTCATTCCATGTCGGTTTTATTACAGAGGGATGTCTCATGAACGATTGATGATATCCTTATGAATGAACCTATTATAGTACATGTGCTTGTTGCTAATTAAACATTTCTCAGCTAAATAATTTGTGTATTTCCATGGAAATAAATTTGACATAGTATTTGTGCAAGGGTACGGGATATTGCCAACTGATTGATCTTGTGTTTGATCTTGTCTCTTCTATGGAGAAAGGCTGTCTCTTATCCAAGAGGTAAAACCATGCAGGAATGTTCCTAGTGTTAATAGTTCACATGAAAAAATTAAGACAAGCAATTACATTAATAAATATACATTTATTATTATACATGGGGTGTATATAAAATGACTTTATCACAAATGACTTTTAAAAAAAGTGATGGAAGTATTTGGTATGTTCTACACATTAAAATCAGTATTTCAGGGTTGTAAAATAAAAACATAAATATGAAGAAAAAATAATATTTAACAATAGAGATTTATGGTAGAGATATTAACATTTTGATTATTTTCTCACCGGATATTCTCATCAAAAAATATGATAAATAGAGTTTTATATACACAAATTTTACATGTAGTTAGTACACATACATTTTTGAGTTTTGTATTAATACAAAAACTTTAGATATGTATTTAATATACATAAATTATATAACTATATTCAATGTACACAACATTTATGTATACCAGTTTTATACATCAATATACATAATTTTACATGTATATTTAAAATACAGATGTGACGTCGTCCTTTGATGTTGGCGTACCATTATTTCCAATAAAGTACGGGCAACTTGCCAATCGTGTATTATCTGTACATGTACTAGATGAAATATTGGATTCACGTGACATATTTCATTGAAAAGCACGTGCAGGATAGTGTCTGTATTTTAAGTTGTTTAATGGTCTCGAGCTAATATATTGAAACAACACGAGGCGCTAGTATCAATATATTACTTAATGTCTCGCTCTCTACCATTAAACCATACTTAATATTCACAAATTGCATAAATATATTAAATATACATAAATTTTATACACATATTCAATTATAATATACTCTTCAAAAAAAGTAGGGGATATTCAGAAACAATACAAAACTGTGGAAATGCACTGCTGTTTTTATTACAGGTAAGCAGTGTATGTTAATAACAGGCCAATTGCCTACACATGAACATAAACAGTTCATATGGGCGGCTTATTTGACGGCCCCATTTCACTCTCAAAGAGATACACTATCAAAAGTGAAAATGGACGTTTTTGATTTTTGTCTTAATAATGAGTAATTGCTCCACCAATCCTCAGACATTCAGAAATTCGTCGTGGCATGCTCCTAATCAACCGCCCAATCACGATTTTGGGCATTCTGACCCACTCCTCTTGTAGTGCCAGGCCAATTCTTGTAGTGTTGTCGGTTGACGTTGGCATCGACGAACACATCTCCCGATCAAACTAAACGTAACACACTAAAGCAAAGATACGCTAAACAGTAAATCTTATGCAAGAACCGATAGGAAAGCAAACATGGATAGGATAAACCAGCAAGTGGCAGTTTTCATCAACCCTTCCTTGAAATGTCAAATTTGACAATGAACTCCTCCCACGTGTATGGCGCTATTGCGTGCTGCACATGCAGCACAGTGGTTCTGTTGGGGCGATAAGTTCTTCATCTGTGAACATACTCTCAAAGCATGTCAAGTGTCCATGACTATTTATCATATCACAACCTGCATAGGTATTTGCATTTCAATATCCCCTACTTTTTTTGAAGAGTACATAAACAACTTTATACATGCAATCCATATACAAACATTTTATACACATATTTAATATATAAAAAATTTATACACATGTTCAATAATAATATAAACAATTTTATACATGCAATCAATATACAAAAATTTACACACATATTCAATATACAAAAATTTACACACATATTCAATAGAAACACATTTTATCCTGATTTACACAATGAATGGTATCTATGGATTACTTTTGTTTTATTTTGGGATATTACCAGGGGCGGATCCAGGAATTTTTGCAGGAGGGGGTTTGCCAGGTTCCTGAGAAAATGTATCCCCCCCCCCCCTCGGCTTGAAATTTTTTGAGAAATACATGGTCTCTATCGTCATTTTGGCGTATATACATACACATTGAGCTTTTTAAATAGAGAAATCCAACATCCTGTTTGATGTCAATTTTTATTATGAATTAATATGATGACATTGTGATTCAATTTTATTGATGCAAAGCATTAATTGTGATATCCCATATGTCTATATCATTATCTCACGCTTTGAGTGCCCATCCTGTCGCACCATCTGACCATAAAGGATAAAGCACAATTATGACACTTTTCTCATAAAAAAAGGTTGTTTTACAAAAAAATTTATGTGGCTGAGCAGGGGGAGGGGGGACCCCCCAAACCCCCCTCTGGATTCTCCCCTGATTACCAAACCATAAAAATAGACAGCAACCAACAACATGAATGTGAAATAAAACAATATGATAAAGATGACTGAACACACTTATGAGAACACAAAGATGGCTAAGTTTATATGTATAGGTTTATTAATTCATTTACCTGTTTATTTATAATTTCATATATTTAAAAAATTTTGGCACATATTATTTTTTGCAAGAAATTGTCCTCTCTAAATAGATATAACCAGAGGGATCACATCATTTCAGTTACTGTACATGAACATATATAGTTTGTAGTTTTTTGATGTGAACAAAGTTTGTAGTTATTTGACATGAACACAGGATGTAGTAGCTTGACATGGACAAAGTCTGAACTGGTAGTTTGTTCATAGGAACACAGTTTCTAGTTAATGTACATGGACAAAGCTTGTAGTTACTGTACATGAACAAAGTTTGTAATTATTTGACATGAACAAAGTTTGTAATTTTCTTTAGTTAATTGGCATAAACAAAGTCTGTAGTTAATTGGCATTAACTAAGCCTGTAGTCAATTCATAGGAACACAGCTTGTAGTTAGTTGGCATGAACATGGCTTGTAGTTAGTTGGCATGAACACAGCTTGTAGTTAGTTGGCATGAACACAGCTTGTAGTTAGTTGGCATGAACACAGCTTGTATTTAGTTGGTATGAACATAGCTGGTAAGTATGTGGCATGAACATTGAACATAGCTTGTAGTGATGTGACATGAACAAAACTTGTAGTTACATGACATGAACAAAATCTGTAGTTAGTGTACATAAACAAAGCTTGTAGTTACTGGACATAAACAAAATTGTACTTAACAAATGTGTAGAGCAAATACTCTTCAAAACGTAACCCAAATAAATCAGTAATTGTTCTCCCATAAGTACGTGGTATAGTTTATTTCTCTATCCAGTTACTTAACGCAACCTTGAATATCAGCAAATTTCTTAATTTAGATTTACAGATGTGGATAATCATGGAAACTTCTGAAAAAGGAGTGAGTTGTACATTTGTACCAAATTAAATTGGCACTACAACTCACTCCTCTAAGTACCTTGCATTTTTGTCCTAGCAAATTGCAAATTTGAGCTGGTAAATTTAACTTCTATTTTGAGTACCATAGATGTAAACATTATAGTTATTGAAATTGTTGATAAAATCCAGAATCACATCACTACCAAACATTTTACGGTCCAACAATTATTTTAACTGCTTACAGATCTCCGTCTTTTGTGAAATCTGAGAGTTAAACTTTTATCATCATTTTTCACCATTTGTGGTAGAATGGAATCCCATACAGCTATACAACCATACTGGTTATCTGCAGTTTATAAAAAATCAGCTGATTAAAAGAAAATACCATTTTCATCACCGACCGGGCTAATGAAGACGGGCATACGCCATGAAGTGTTCTACGTGGAGAATTTTGCCCAGGCATGGCACCGCTACCGTCTACCGTTATTTTGAATTTCTACTGTCCATGGTACTTTCATGTGCATGTCAGGCCCTATGTACCTCTCTCCTGCACCCGGTTTCCACCCACTGCTAAAAGACCCCTACGCACAAGCGAATTATTGAAATAAAATTGAACCATATGTCCGAAATGACTTAGTTTGTGTGGACACAAACCAGGTCATTTGGCACTAACATATTGTTCAATTTTATTTCAATAATTCGCTGGCACGTAGGGATCTTTAGCAGTGTTACGCAGAGAAAATTTAACAGGTGACCCTACTCCTTGTACAAGCGAGGTATCAAAACCATGCCACTTGACTCAATGACAGACCTTCTGATTCAACACCAAGCTTTAAAATTTGATTGATCTGTGATGACCTTTATACTTGGATTTAGGTGTCATTGGCATTTGTGAGGGTTTGGATGGCTGAATGGTTAGTGCGTGCACTTTGCACCATCCGTCTGACAAGGAGTAAGGTTGCCTGTCTAACCTTGTGGTTTTTCTCAGGGTCCACCGGTTTTCTACCACTGCTAAAGATCTCTATGCACAAGGGAATGTTTGAAAGAAATGACTAGTTTGTCTGGGTTAAACTCTCTCTCTCTCTCTCTCCCTCTCCCTCTCTCTCCAAAATGATGCTTAGCTAATTTTGGCTATTTCAACAATTTCTGAATATTTCATGCTGATAGTTATAAGTTATTTTCAAATTCATATTGTCGAGCAGTGCCTCCGGGCTAAACGTGCAATGCAACATGAAGAGTATTACTCTTGTATATTATTTGTTTAAAAGACTTTATTTTGTTTTTTCCATCCCATCCAAACCACTAAACCCACTTTCGTTCAAACCCTGAACTGTTCTAGCCTACAGACCGTAACCTACACCCACTGGCCATTACATGTGGAAGTCTGTAGTGTATATTTATGAAGCGTCCTCATATGACATACCTTTATCAATATCTGAATCTGGTCTGTTACGAAATCCTAATCCACCACTTAATATCACACAATCTTTATCATTCTCCGCTGGATAAAATAAAATCTTATAATAGGCCTCATATATTTTAACACAATGAAACTGGGATTCAATGTCTCCTCAACTCAATAGTAAAGTCATTTTGAGACAAAATTTTTTAATTTGTGTCATGCAAGTTTAGAGAATTTTGCCTGGAAAGCAGGATATCTGCCTACCCTTCGTTAATTTACATGGGTTAACCTTGCTTTTCTGTCCCAACCAAATGACTACAAACACTTTCCTTGTCAGCCTCAGCAGCACCACCTCTGAGAAGTAAAGACCAGGCTTGTAAACTGTCCAGCTAAATAAATAAATGATGGGCACTAATTGAAATGAAATGGGGGGTAACATTCTACTTTCCTGCACAAACCAGAATAGTGAAAAAGGACGGAAAAGTCTGTTGGCTACCAAGATTTCGTCTAATGGTTTGGATGCAGCTATGGTGGGTGTGGCGCTAGAAAGGGCAAGCTTACTCTTCCAGACACCTGTTACCACTGTTCATCATGCTTTTTGTATATGGTGAACAGTCCATTTTGCCTATACCATTTTTTTAGGACTTTGAATTTTGTCTCATGGTTTGGATTGTTCGTACTTTGCTTTATTTTATTTATGCAGTGTGTTATGGTGGAAATTTTGCACTGACAGCTGGGCAACGGGGTCCACTCTTATTATCGAGCTCCAACTGTCAGGAAATCTTGAACATACTGAAAATGTTATACATTTGTCCTTATTATTTATTCGTCTCACACAAATATAAGATGCTTGTCCTTGGTAGGTCCCCCCTGTCCTGCACCACGGACAAAGGGAAAGAATCTTTTGAAGAATCTTCTCGACCAAGTTTTCTAGTGGTAAATTTGATGTTTAAATTTACCTTGTAATTTAATACACATGAGACATCTAATAGAAGCTGTGTGACGTGCAGTAGAAACAAGGGGAGATAATAACAAACTGTCAACTATAACTATCTGACCACCACCTGTACCAATCCATAATACTTTATCTTGAAGCACCATCGCTGTAATTCTTGAATCATTTTTGGGCAGGCTGTGATAAAAAAATAAAAACATAAAACATGAATATGAACAAGCTAGAGAGAGAGAGAGAAATGGGGTTTAACATCCACACGAGACAAACTAGGCCATTTTGGGACTAACATATGGTTTAATTTTATTTCAATAATTTGCTTGCGCATAGGGGTCTTTAGCAGTGGGAGGAAACTGGAGGACCCGGAGAAATCCATGGGGTTGGGCAGGCGACCCTACTCCTTGTCACATACAACCACGGAATCGAAACCACGCCAGTTGACTCAATGACAAACTTTATGATACAGTGCGCATACGCTTACCATTCAGCCATCCAATCCCCCGAACAAGCTTGAACACAACTAAAAACATAAAGTAACTTAAAACTGTGGTAAGGATATCGTAGATCTATACATTTTGGAGAATGAAAATAGTTAATTCTATATGAACAGTTATATCAGAATGGTCAGCACTAAGGTTTTTATATATTATTCATAAGTTCAACTAGATCCATGCAATCAGGCTCCCAGTTCTTAGTAATCTAACATTTAGTTTGCAGATCATTTGACTATAACACAGCACATGTATTGCCCTTTCTTATATTGAATCTCAGTGTCTTCAAACAACTTCGATGGAACCTAGCTGTTTAGAGGTTTATATTCATAAGCCATTTTCTGGAATTTTTAGACCTCACTTTGAGCATAAATCTTTATATGATATTTTAGTGACAAATGCCACTGGCGTATCGTTACTTTGAGAAGAAAATGTTCATGATTATAAACTAAACTTACTTGAAAATAGTCTGTATATTACAATCACCACGATCCCTACGTTTACCTTTCGATATATCCCAGACTTCCACCACACTACACTGTCGTTTAGATATATACAGATGTTTCCCTAATGTCATTGTTAGAATAGGTTTTCTAAAATTGTTCTTACTGAAAACATAATACATGGAAATGATTCAAATTGAAATATAACCTAGTCACACAAAGCATGGAGAGAGAGAGAGAGAGAGAGAGAGAGAGAGAGATATGAGGTTTAAGTCCATTTGACATAAACTAGGTCAAATCAGAACTAACATATGGTTCAATTTCATTTCAATAATTCGCTTGTGCGTAGGGGTCTTGAGCAGTGGGAGAAAATTCTACTTCTGGTCACGTAGGAGTGGGGTATACACGACACTCAACTCCATTACAGACCTTATGATCTAAAGCAGATGCGTTAGTCCATTCAGACACCCAAGTTTCGGGAAGAGATGGTAAGATCATGGACCAAAAAAGGTACAACAAATTATTTGAATCAAGATACAATGATTGGTAGGTCTTTTTATGATGGATGGGGATGAAGGATTCAGACCACTGTCCTTTAACTAAATCAAGTGAAATGGGCATGTAATGTCTTGCTGTACCTTATTTAGATCATTTTGACACTAACATAATACTATAATTCTTTAGATTTAATATTTATTTGTGTTTCCATGGAAACAAATTTGACTTTACCTTATTTAGATCATTTTGACACTAACATAATACTATAATTCTTTTGATTTAATATTTATTTGTGTTTCCATGGAAACAAATTTGACTTTACCTTTCCTCATCGGTATCAAACATCTTTTCAACAGCCATACCCTTACTAGCTAATATTACAATCTGTGAACCACAAGATGCAATTGTTTTATTCTTATACTTTAAGATACAACATACAGGGTCGTAACCTTTCCCAATAATCATCGGGGGTAATGGCTGTGTGTCTGGTTCCTGTACGAAAAAAAACATAAAATATGATTATTGTGGATTCCAACTGTCAAGGGTTCTTTCCCTTTTCTCGTCCATCACACCGAGCAATGCCGAGACTACTGCGCCGCCTTCTCTCATTAATGGAGTAAAACATCAATACCAACAAACATAGGAAAAAGTCACCTTAAAAAAAAGATTAACAATGCCTTCCCATGTACAAACCAGGTGATTTGATGATGTATTTGGACTAAAACCATATTCAAACCGATTAATCTATCAATATTTTGCTTCAAATCCCTCTCAAAACAATGTACTCACGAGGAAATACCCGAAGATATAAAAAATCTATTATTAGAAGCCATTTTTGTCATGTTATAACTTGATTGAGAGAGGCCCATTTTTCAAAATGTATTACTCACTGTCCATTTGCATTACATATTGAAGCCTAAGTAAATTCTTGGATTATCTTCTGCCAGCTTCTTTTTCTGCCATTTAATTACAGACTCTTTTGTATGCTTAAACCCTTAATGTTACCAAAAAACGTCTAACCAATCGATCAAGAAACAACAAGCGCACCCTAAGTCAAGCTGGTAGACAATAAGCCGCTGGGTTGACAGTTAGTGATACCCTGACAATTTTGCACAGTGCTTGCCTCATGGGTGTTTATCAGGCAATCCAGTATTTTTCCAGTAAGACTGGGCGTCTCTTCATTCCATTTATACCCAATTTGCCATACTTATATCATAAATAATTACCCTATAAAATCTTTCGTGAGAATGTATCTTTAAAATGTACCTGTAATATTTCTGATACTGGAAAGAATGCTAATCTCCCATTGGCTAATCCAGCAAATATAACATCATTTTCATCTGACCTATAACACAATTTTCATCTGACCAAAACACAATTTCAGTAGTAAAATGAATTCAATAATCTAGGGGATTTAGCCCACTATACAAAAATGTGAATTTCACTGTTTAATTGAACAATATGAAAATCATTACATTCATTAAAGATATATTATGTAAGATTTAGATAAAGAGCTGTCAGTTCTCGCTATAACAGTTCCAAAATAGATAATGCAAAATGAATATATCGAAAAATCAGTCATATTACTTTATTCTGAGTGAAGTTACCAGTGTTTGAAGTTTTAACGAAATGTAGTATGGATTGTTTATTATCATAGCAATGGTACTTGTTAAACGAGACTATGACCCTCCCTCCCACTCCAGCCAGGGCAGCCTTCGGGTGCGCTTGTATGGTCACGACTAAACGGCAAAGTATAGTTCACTACACCTGAACGGAAGCTAGTTCGACCATAGTCGTCAAAATGGACGCCGTTCTCTTCAATGAACAGCTACAAAACCTTTTAATCAATGAAAACGCAAGTTTGCTTAATGAGAACTTTGATATGACCACATCATTCTTTGGAGATAAATTCTCGGAACGTTTGCCAAAGACTATGCTGAAAACGCTATACCAGAGGTAGAATATGATAACGACGATTTCAAGAAATCTACTCACAGTTGAGTTAGTGACCGAGTTATCCCCAGACAAAAAAAATGAACAAACCAACAAAATATCCAGAGTTTATTTACATAATTTATATTTACAATGTATATCAAACTGGTGTATTTATGAACAAAATCGTTTGTTTGTGTTTCTGTTTTTCCAAATAAAATTCACAAATAGATGAAATATTTTTACTATAATACTGTCACTTTCACAATTTCAGTCTGACACCAGTCTTGGTCGAATTGATTGGAAAAACATGATTATCCACTTTATATAATATGGAATCTACTTAAATATGTTATATGAAGTTAAATAACTTTCAGGTTCTGGAGCAACATTGGTAGTATACGTTCTATCTTCAAATAACAATTCCAACACAACACATGTTTTGTCGCGAGCCGCCATTTTTAATCTGACTTGACCAGCCTCAACCGACCTCGAAAGGTGGGTTAATCATGGTCGTGACTATAGTCTAACCATTTCAAGTTCGGGTTGTGCATGGTCGAGACCTAGTTGAACTATGGTCGAACATTTGGACGAGCCGAAGGCGGCCCTGTAAGCCACTGGTGAGTTTGGTCACCCGAATATTTAAGTGGGTGGGGTGGCAGGGTGGTGAAACTATGACTCCAGTCTGTATGCCACTGGTGTGTTGGTCACAGGAATATTTAAGTGGGTGGGGTGGCAGGATGGTGAAACTATGACTCCAGTCTGTATGCCACTGGTGTGTTGGTCACAGGAATATTTAAATGGGTGGGGTGGCAGGGTGGCGAGACTGTGACCCTCCCTGCCACTCCAACCCGTATACCACTGGTGAAACCTACCTTTTAACAAGATGTAGAGATAAAACTGAATCTGAAAGAACTTCTGTAGAATTACTTATCTCTCTTGTTATTGTATCAAATACAAATATTTTGCCAATCTGTGTACCAAGTAAAATATGTTCTGGATCAACTGGTAACATACATAATATTCTACCATACGGAAACATGGCACCCTGTTAACATAAAAACATGGCACCCTGTTAACATAAAAACATGGCACCCTGTTAACATAAAAACATACTTAAAAAAATATATATAAATATAAAAGTATAATGGTTTAATAAAAGATGCATTTCAGACTACCAATTGATAAAAGGCTGTAGCCCGAAACGTATCCTGTATTAAACCATTAAAAATAAACACACTTATATATGGATATACTACTTCTGAATTTTATTAACATGCTACGTTTCAATACTCATACAGGTATCGTTATCAAGTAAATAATCTTTTTGCTTGATAACGATACCTGTACGAGTATTGAAACGTAGCATGTTAATAAAATTCAGAAGTAGTATATCCATATAAGTGTGTTTATTTTTAGTGAAATCTATTTCTATATGTCTTATAAGGATTATAAACCATTATACTCTACACAGTCTTGTCAAGTGTTGTTCGTGAATTATTTACCAGGATTTTTTTCCTGATCTTCGCCAGCTGTATCACTGAGATCAAGACTTTACAAGTATCATAGTCCATGGCAGGAGTCTTGTTTTACTCACATTTACTGACAGTGTAACTGAAAGACCGGAGTGGTTAACCTGTCAGTGTAACTGACTGGCGAAAGACCAGAGTGGTTAACCTTTCAGTCAATTTACATACCATAAAATTATAATGTCAAGGAAATTAACCTTGAAATACTTGAAATACAGTTGAAGTTATATCCTTTATGTCAAAAAACACATAAAAATATTGATAAACAGAACATGCCAAAGTTCAAAACACTGGTTCAATTACGGTACAATTTCTTGTTAGAAAAAAAAAATGTTTCAGTGATAAAAAGGTATTACCCGGTACATTATATAGTTCGGGATTTGCTTATGTTCACTGTCATGCAGCAATAATTCAGGATAACAATTTTTTTATTCCATATGATTCCCGCTCATAAACAGAAAATAATATTAATGCTTGTGGTATCAAAATTCTTTTCAAGTAAGTCTAATCGCAACGATCCATTTCTCTCTGACTATATTTCATTGTATTGTACTTGATAATAAGTAAAAAGAGGTTGTTCTGCTGATTGGGCAATTAGGGAAATTTTGCCTGGAAAGCGGCGCTACGGCATACTTTTATATAAAATTCCAATGGATTTTTAACGTGCCCACCATTGTGTACACAGGACCACAGTTTTCCATCTCATCCGAAAAACTACCAAGAAATTCAATGTAAAAACACAGCTCTGGTTATAATTTAGTGTTGTCTCCAGGAAACTTGTTATAATTTATTCAACGTATTTACCTTAAATTCATCTCTATAATCTAATAAATTAAACCAACCAAATTGCATATAATCATTGTCACCACTGGCTATCCATAGTTTGGTTTCTTCCTCATCTATTGGCTGTCAAAGTAAAACAAATTCGATAATTTAAAGGCAATGGAAACGGCAAAACCCCAATAATTATTTAATTTCTGAATAAAATTTTGTTTAAGAAAAAAAAAACAATTAATACAATACTTTGGTCATTTCAAGACTAATATAAGTTGATTAATTCCTATGGTCACATGAACCAATGATTGATGAATAATTTTGCCCGGACCGAGGAGTTTATGCCTACTCTTCAACACATTGGTTGCCAAAGCAAAATAATTTTAATAATTTAAAAGGCACAGAGTTTAACCTTGAATCAACACATACTTGAGATTAAGATAATGTTATTTATCTCTAAGGTCATGTGCAAAGGGTAGGGAGGATAATTTGGCCTGGGTTGTGGGGTTTCTACCAACTCATCATTGAATTCGAAATGTCATGAGTTTTTTTACACATATTCAAATGTGTACATGAATGGACTTTGATTTTTTTTGTTCCACCCGAATGACTACACAGTACTTTCCTTGTCTACCCTATAGGTGATACCCCAGACTAGATGTTGTTTAACAAGGAAACTGGAGGACCCAGAGAAAAACCTATTAGGTTGGACAGGCGACCCTCCGCCTTGTCATGTACAAACGAGAAACAGAAACCACGCCACTTGACTCAATGACTGACCTATGTTTTTCACACTAGTTAAACCACTAGACCATCCAACCCCCATTTATTACAGAATAAATAGTTTAAAAATAAACTGGCAGAATGTTAAAAAGAAAATTCTAAATACATTTCAAATCGCTAAATATCTCAGCTTATTATTTGACCAATTTACCTGATATGCCATACATTCTACAGTTGTGCCCACAGATATTGGTCGAAATTCTCTCAAACAATATAACTCAGCTGATCGCAATTTTCTACATACTTCCTTTGACTAGAAATATAAAATAACATATAAACAAGTATTGGGAATCAAGTGATGGGGCAACTGGTAAGAAAAAGCTTCTTGAATGTGTATGCCATTGACCACAAGTTACAGATCTCCTGTTAGCTGGCAATTTAAATATAGTAGTCTGTCACGCTGCTGTTTGGCCAAACTCTCCCTTATAGCTCACTGCCTGTCTTCTATTTCATTTGGATTTGATCCCTGTGTTGGTCAAGAGAGTTCCGCAGGATTTTCCAGTGAGGTCCTGGACAATTGCTGTCTGGGTAAAATTTCCCTCCAAGCACACTGCATGGTGTATGACCATCTTCATACAGGTTGGTTCAGACAAGTAGGCTGTTGAACCCCATTCCATTTAGTCATTCATTTTATACTGTCTGTACAAAATAACTTTACTCTTTATTACATTACTTTATAAAATAACTTTACTCTTTATAACATTACTTTATAAAATACTGTCTGTACAAAATAACTTTACTCTTTATTACATTACTTTATAAAATAACTTTACTCTTTATAACATTACTTTATAAAATACTGTCTGTACAAAATAACTTTACTCTTTATTACATTACTTTATAAAATAACTTTACTCTTTATAACATTACTTTATAAAATACTGTCTGTACAAAATAACTTTACTCTTTATTACATTACTTTATAAAATAACTTTACTCTTTATAACATTACTTTATAAAATACTGTCTGTACAAAATAACTTTACTCTTTATTACATTACTTTATAAAATAACTTTACTCTTTATAACATTACTTTATAAAATAACTTTACTCTTTATAAAATACTGTCTGTACAAAATAACTTTACTCTTTATAATTTTACTTTATAAAATACTGTCTGTATGAAATAATTTTACTCTCTATAATATTTACGTTATAAAATAACTTTACTCTTTATAACATTACTTTATAAAATACTGTCTGTACAAAATAACTTTACTCTTTATAACATTACTTTATAAAATACTGTCTGTACAAAATAACTTTACTCTTTATAACATTACTTTATAAAATACTGTCTGTATAAAATAACTTTACTCTTTTTAATATTACTTTATAAAATACTGTCTGTATAAAATAACTTTACTCTTTTTAATATTACTTTATAAAATAACTTTACTGTTTATAATATTATTTTATAAAATACTGTCTGAATGAAATAACTTTACTGTTTATAATATTATTTTATAAAATACTGTCTGTATAAATTAATATTACTTTATAAAATACTGTCTGTATAAAATAATACTATTTTTATAAAATAGTGTATGAGTAGAATAATACCTGTGGTCTATAATCTGGTACTTGTTGTAAACACTGATTAATTACTTCCTGCATGTCAGGCCACGGTTTAATTCCACGTTTAGTAATCGGTGGAATCGGCAGATTCTGAATTCAGAGAAAACATACTTTATATCTTGAAATCTTACAAAGTAGATACCAGCTCAAATCCGACTATTGCGAGCGACAAAGGTGCTTTTATCTCAAAGTTTTCGATCAGAATGAAAACTGACGTTATAAAATTGATTGTGTGTGTGTGCAAGGTCAATTTTGTCAATTAATTGATATCAATAATAGAATAGATGTGTGAAATATTAAATCATTTTTAATTTTCTTTCCTTTTATAATACAGAGACTAAAATATGATCTCTTCTAAGTTCGAACGGAATATAAATAACGCTTTATAACTTGCTAGAGAAAACAAGTCAACAATGACGTTGACTTCCCCAACTCCGTCCCAAAATAAATATATGACACCTATTAACTACTTAGCATCAAACAACAGAATTACTTATCGCTTTGCATAAGCTGAGCAGATAATGCTCATTACCATATTTAGTCAAGGTATCGATGTAATGAAACATCACTCTTAAAGAACAAAGTTATCGTGCTCCAAGACATGGGCCAAAGACAATGAAACCACTTATCTTTGCTTAACCCTTTCACTGCGTATACCCGGTAGTACCGGGTATTATAAAATGTCGGTAAAATGCCCGTACCCGGTATTACCGTGTACTCAGTAAAGCCCTCGCTAAAATTAGTACCGTAACTGCAAGTGCCATCTATTGTATTTTCTATACACTAGAACATATTTCCACGTGTTTCAAAGCAGCAAACCGTAAAATGGCGGAGTGCATTGTGACAACGTAGAGGATGCACTCTCGATGAAGTCGTGAATGACGTCTTGCTGACCAACATGTGGACAATTTCGAGGCGGGTGATACACATAATTCGTTTCCAGTTACTTGATAATGATAGTAGTCAGGACAGTGATTGGTATTATGAAGTGTGTGATTTGTTGCGCGACGTTCCGCCCATGGCTAGCTATGTCTCCCGTGCATGATGAACAAGCCCAATGTGAACACGATAGCCCTGTGTCTGCAGTAGATTCTGACAATAATTCTAATGTTGATAATAATGCTGGCCTGCTGGATCGTAAAATACGTAGGTAATTCCTGATTCCCGAACGTGTAGATCTATTGACTGACTATATTGATAATGATATGGGACTTGGGGATGAAAGTGAAAGTGAAAGTAAAAACAAGGTATTGCAATCCGCACGTGGTCATGGCAGCGGGAGACGTGATGCGCGTGTTCGCGGCGGCATTGCTCATGGCTGCTATTGATATTTTTGTTCATTTTATATATCTTTATCAAAATCCAGTAAAAAAACCAATATCTTTTAAGTATTTCATGGAGAAAAATTCGTTTTCGTGTTAGCTTTAGTGTGAAATGAGAATCCAAAATGGCCGCCATGACGTCACGTGACTACATTATTATGCAAATTTCCAAAATTCTATTTTTTCCTCTTAGCCCAACCTCATGCCCATCCCAACAGACAAAAAGATTTTTCATAAAAGCTTCCATAAGTACTGCTTGGCATTCAGTTCCAACCTCCCTTTTTTCCTCAAAAAAGGGTCTAGCACAGGCAGTGGATTTACGTCTAGCATTGAAAGGGTTAACCTAAGCAGAGAATGTTCATAATCAAACTGTCAAGACATTCACTTAATGAATATATACACCCAGTTTGAACATTCTACCCCAATTAGAAAAAGAATGATTGTGTTACAAAAAGTGTGACAGACAGACAGACGAACCCATAATAAAAGCCCCTTGCTGTCTCTAAAAGGTGGAGGACAGAAATACAATGATTTAACTAACTTCAGCAAAAGCTTTGTCCTTCTCACTCTGGAACTCGAGTTCATCATATGGATGTTGACCTCCTGTTACCATGACATATAGAGTTATACCAAACGAAAATACATCAGCCTGTTAAAATAAATATACTAATATTATTTTAATATATTTGATGATATTTAGTTGAAATAATATTGAAAGTAGATACATGTCATTCATCTTCGAGTGCAAATTAAAATAAAAACTGTTTTTAAATACAAGATGGATAAATATCTGTATCAGTCTTACAGTACCAAATATCCCCAATTACACCCACAGTTCACACAAAGATTTGAGAGAGAGAGAGAGAGAGAGAGAGAGAGAGAGAGAGAGATGGGTCTTAAGGTCCACTCAACACAAACTAGGTCATTTCGAGACTAACATACGGTTCAATTTGATTTCAATAATTCACTTGCGCATAGGGGTCTTTAGCAGTGGGAGGAAACCGGAGGACCAGGAGAAAATCCATGAGGGTGGATTGGTGACCGGCCCGTATTCCTTGTCACCTGCAACCAAAATCTCGCCACTTGACTCATTGACAGACCTTGTGATACAACGTGAGCACGCGTTAACCATTCTGCCATCCACCCCCCCCCCCCACCCTGCACATGAAAAATAAATATTTATAAAATGAATATTTTGTAGTTTTATATGAGTTGCTACTTAAATTAAGGAGATATAATACCTGAAATGAGTATGTTTCACCTCTAATTACTTCAGGTGCTCTATAAGCAGGTGTACCTTCTTGTGCTGTTAAACCATATAATGTCGAAAATCTGGATATTCCATAATCAGATATTTTAGCATTAATCTGAAATGAATTATTTATAACATTTAGATTTGATCTACTGACATCATAAACTTTATATTTAATTATCATCTCTTTTTTTTAAAAAAAAAATTACAAAAATATGGCAAAATCCGGAAGATAAGTACTATCTAACATTAAATATCTTCAACCAGTAATTAAAAGTTACTGGAAAGAACAATTTAACTATGATATTTATTTCCCAAACTTTAGTTTATAATAACTTCAACTTTGATGATGGTCTAAGACCGTGTGTTATGTAATAATGGCTACTGAGAGAGGGAGAAATTGGGTTTAACGTCCACTCGGGACTAACAAATGGTAAATTTTATTTCAATAATTCGCTTGTGTGTTGGGGCCTTTAACAGTGGGAGGAAAACGGATGACCCGGAGAAAACCCATGAGGTTAGACAGATGATCCTACTCCTTGTCACGTACAACCAGGGAATCGAAACCACGCCAGTTGACTCAATGACAGGCCATCCATCACCCCAATAAAGACTACTGCAGTAAGGGTGTGTGGATTTGACAGCAATCAGATTAAGTTGTTAGGTGTGGAAATCTTTTTGAAACTCAACTTGAGAGACTATTCCATCATGTGAGCAGATTCCTGATACAACAAATAATTGAACTACTGCCCTGTTATTGCACCTTTACAATGCTGTACATTTCACTTGTATATATTGCAAAAGGAATCACAAACCTTGGCACTTGATGAAAGACTAAATATAAGTACGTTATCTGGTTTCATGTCTCTATATACTACCATTAGTTTATGTAGATAACACATCCCTTCACATATCTATATATAAATATAAATATCTTTCATTAACATTACGTAAAATCATCAACATCACAATACAAATACTTCATTTATCAACATCAAGGTATGATTTGATATTAATTGAAGACTCTGATCATCATTTAAGGTATTGAGGGATCTCTTGTGAAATATTATATTGATGCAACGCGCACACACTAACCATTCACACTAACCATTCGGCCATCCAACCCTCTCAAAGGCCAATGCCACCTAAATGTAAGTATAGAGGTCTGGGTTGCCTGTTCAATTTTCTCTGGGTAACCCTGCTAAGGACCCCTACGTGCAAGCGAATTATTGAAATAAAACTGAACCATGTTAGTCCAAAAATGACCTGGTTTGTGTCGAGTGGATGTTAAACCTCTTTCTTTCTTTCTTTCTTTCTCTCTGTAGTAAATCAGAAAACATGCACACTGTTTTAAAATCTATTTTCAAAATATAGAAATAACCAAGAATATGAAAACCTTACCTGAGATGCTATTTTATGTTGTAAAATTCTACTTAATGGCTGTCTATTACGTAACACATTTCCAAGAGAACCAACAGGAGCAAATTCTAGTAATACTAATCTGGCTGGACGAAGACCAACAGCGGTTAATGATAAAACATTAGGATGGTTCAATCTTCGTAAAATATTCACCTGGAGTCAAGAAAGAACAATAAGCAGATGTCATAAATGTGATCCATTATACAATTTTATAATTTTGTCATATACTCTATTACTAAACCAACTTATTCACAAAGAAATAGTGGTCTGAAACTGTCTTGAATTCTTTGTGTCAAAATGAGTTACCCCCCTTAATTAATAAAAGGCTTTGATCCTATAGGGAATTCTGGGATGGAGTGAAATGAATAATGGCTGTTTGATCCTTAACCCTTCTGCTTATCTTGTTATCTATATACCCCAATACCATAATATATCACACCAAGAAGTGAAGAATGAAGCAATAAAGAAAGTTGTTTACCTCTTGTCTCAACATTTTATGTGGATGGTCATCACCAACAGCACTAAATACTTTAGCTGCTACAATCTGTAATTAATACAATTTATGCTTTACAACCACTGGTTTTTATACACAGAAATATTCACATAAACACTCTGATATCCCATAATTATGTTTTAAATTAAGAGAATCCCATACCACACTCTAACTCTGCTATACAGCATTGCATTAAATTTGAATCAAATATTTCAAACAGGTAGCTCAATAACATATTAAAATGAAGTTACTAATTTTAAATAGTTTACTGTTTTTTAAGTATGGATGTCTGATTCACAACAATTGTATTAAAAAGACACTGTTTCGGCTTTTAGTTTTATGAGAGAAAGAGAGAGAAATGGGGTTTTATGTCCACTCAACACAAACTTGGTCATTTCAGGACTAACATATGGTTTAATTTTATTTCAATAATTCATTTGCGCATAGGAGTCTTTGGCAGTGGGAGGAAACCGAAGGACCCGGAGAAAACCCACGAGGGTCGACAGACGACCCTACTCCTTGTCACGTACAACCGGGGAATCGAAACGTCAGTTGATTCAATGACAGACCTTAAGATACAACATGCACATGCTAACCATTGGGTCATCCAACACCCCCTTTTACCAAATGAAGTTCTAGCCTATTATACAATACCTGTTTTTTATAAACAGCTTTAAAGACACAACCAAATCCACCATCTCCTAGTAAATTCTCTGGGCTAAAATATATAAACAAACTAGGATTGGTTGAAAGTTGATCAATATGTCCCAAAAGGTATAAAATTCTCAACTCTGTCTCCCACGTCATAATTCAACAAAAAAAACCTATAATCTCATTTCTTATTCTGATTCGAAATGGTATTCATTATGTCGGGATGTGAACGATCTGTACTTTCTGTTTAAAGGGTGATATCTACCTAGATACGCTAATATCCCTTTTTCAAATAGAACCAAAAGGGTGTGATTTTCACTTAACGTCATCGGTATTGATCAGGCAATTTTGTTCAGTGGGGCATTTGCAAACAAACAGTGAATTAGTCTAATAGTAATATAAATTCTGTTAATTACAGTTTATTTCAATAAACAGTAGGATGAAACCGAAGGACCCGGAGAAAAGCCACAAGGTTAGACAATAGACAGGCAGCCCTGCCTACTCCTTGTCAGGTACAAGCTAGGAATCAAAACCATGGCACTTGATTCAATGATAGAACTTCTGATCTAAAGCACACACATTAGATCAATCAACCCACCCCACCATCACAAACATACACATTTTCCTAAAACCCTAAATCTGTGTACAGACCTGTCCTTGAATTCAAATTCATTCATATCTAACTGGAAATGACTCTCTAAATCTGTTAACATGACATCTGGAGCCTGAAATATCAGTTCATTTATTCTACAAAGTTAAAATAAATCTTAAATGGATCTCAAAACTGTTCAGATCCTTGGATGTTAATTTAAAAAACATATTGGTTCGTTTATAAGTATATAATTCAATATAGAAGAACAAATTGAATCAACAAATCAGGTTTTTGTTACATATAAATACAAAATGTATACCTACTACTAACATTTTCCGTAACTTTTTAACAATATACAATAATATTTTATTCCACAAAAGTTGGGTAATCAAAATTCCTTACCAGATGGCCAAGTTCAATGTTTCCTTTGTGTTTTGGACAGTAAATTTCATCACTAGTTTCTGACTGAATAATTATCTCAGATACGAGAAATCTCTTTGGTTTTTCTAGAAAAATAAACATAGACTTTGTTAAAATTTGGAAGTATATTTTAATAATAACTCAAAAGTAAATTCTCATAGGTTGTTCATCTAATATTTATAAACGATTAAAATAGTAAGGCTATACACTCTCAATGCTTCATTATATTGATCTGATCTGAGGCTTTAAGTTCAGAGAAAATCTTGACCATTTTCAATCATAACATAGTTTGTGATAAAGGTTTTATGATATAAAACCAGTGATTGCTAGACTGGAGACGGTCCTGCACATTTGAGCACATATGACGTCATATGTGGATTGTGGGTTAGGGTTAGGGTAAGGGTTAGGAGTCCTACAGATTTTGTCAAAATCTTCAGATGTAAACAGGACTGGAGCTAACCCTAGCCCTAACCCTGGAACAAGCATAACCCTTATCATAACCCTAACACACAATCCACAAATGTGCAGGACCTTCTCCGATCTATCGTTCTCCTATAAAACCACAATCAAACAAAACTGTGTGTGATGAATCAAACGTCTCTGGGAGAAAATGTGTATGAAGTCGGACACAGTAGATACAGAGATGAAACAAACATGTCTAGAAGAAAATTTGTATATTTACCTGTGCACCGATAGCACTGAGCAAATTTCTGTAATAATTCCCGTCCTAATACAGGATCAATACCTGTTAAACCAGGATACCATTCATCAACTAACGCATCAACATGATCCACAAGATAACCCAGTAATCTGTAATATGATCAACTATATAACTAGAAAACTGCAATATAATAAGATCAGCTAGACAACTGTACTATAATAAGGTTAGCTAGACAACTGTACAATATAATAAGATCAGCTAGACAACTGTACAATATAATAAGGTCAGCTAGACAACTGTAATATAATAAGATCAGCCAGACAACTGTAATATAATAAGATCAGCTAGACAACGGCGATAAAACTAGATCAGCTAGACAACTGTAATATAAGATCAGCTGGACAAATGTGATATAATAAGATAAGCTAGGCAACAGTAATATAAGATCAGCTAGACAACTGTAAAATAATAAGATCAGATAAACTAAAATATAATAAGATCAGTTAGACAACTGTAATATAAGATCAGCTAGACAACCACAATATAACTAGATCAGCTAGACAACTGTAATGTAAGATCAGCTAGACAACTGTAAAATAATTACATCAGCTAGACAACTTTAATAACACAGAATCAACAAAATAACTATAAGTTTAAGTTACCTGTAACCAAAGGTAGTTGAAGGTACAGTTATATGTAACTCTTCATCATTATCTTTAGCAGAATCAACCAGAAAATAAGCATACTGAAAATGAACAAATATGGTAAAAGATATATAAAGGTCCTTATACATAAGGTAAAAAACAGTTCTGTACAAATAACTTTTCAAGAAAATGGAAATGAAATGGGGTTTAACATCCTACTGTTCTGCTCCGATTGAGCTAATGAAGATGTGCATACGCCATACAGTGTGCCATAAGGGAAATTTTGCTTGGAGAGCGCCGCTATGGCCTACTCTTACATTGAATTCCAACTGTCAATGGATCTTTTATGTGCATGCCAATGTGTACACAGGACCTCAGTTTTTTGTCCCATCCGAATGACTAGACAGCTGTCTTTGTCAGGCCTTATGTCCTGCAACACCGACAGGGGGGAACCCCGCCGGAATATCGTGATGAACTTTCTCGGGCAACACCAGGAGCGAAGCCCGTGAACTCCAGGGTATCGAGCCAGTGTCTTACCCACTTAGCCACCATGGCTCCACTAGCAGCCAACATCGACTGGGTTGAATGAAAACACCTGATACCACTCCTCATATACTCACATTGTTAAAAGATGCTAACTATGATTTTATATCTTACAATAATTGTAAATAATAATTTTAAATATTCGAGAAGCTGTTACCTTAGGCCATGCTACAAAAATTCCTTCTCTCCAATATTGCACAACAGGTTCGACACTTAACTGTAGTAATATCTGCAAAAATAAGTACGGTACCCAGATATAAATATGTGAAATCCAGGTTTGAAAAATCCTGAATGTGCTTCTTAGCCCACACCGGAATTCAAACCAGAGACATTCATGTCGAGAGACCAGTGCCCTACAGCTGTTGATCAATCAAGTCCTTAATAGGGAGAGGGGTCTAATATAGGCTATACCTGTTCCCCAATCCCTATTCAGATACAAATCTGAATAAAATATTGTTTAAGAAAAAGAAGTTATGCAGGATATAAACAACATACCTCTGCAACAGAACTATGTGAAAAGACAACAAGTCGTGTTATTAATCTGGACCAGAAACCAATAGGTGCAGATGGCATTACGTAAATACGACTTATTTTATCTGAAAAATAAAGAGTTATATTCACTGTGTATCTGAACTGTTACACATAATATACATTCATGTTTTGGGATTCGTGTTTGATGCTACTGTTGACAGTAACATTGAGATATCAAACATGCAAAGAAATGGGGTTTACCTACCACTCAAAACAAACAAAGTCATTTTGGACTAACACATTCAACTACTTTATTTCAATAATTCACAGGGTTCTTTAGAATTGGGAGGAGACCGGAGGACTTGGAAAAAATCCACGAGGTTGGAGTGAGAGAGAGAAATGGGTTTGAACGTCCACTCGACACAAACTAGGTCATTTGGGGACTAACACATGGTTCAATTCCAATAATTCACTTGCGCGTAGGGGTCTTTAGAAGTGGGAGGAAACTGGAGGCCCCGGAGAAAACCCACGAGGTTGGACAGGCCACGAGGTTTGACAGGTGACCCTACTCCTAATTCAATTACAAACCTTGGGATCTAAAGTAAAGTGCACAATCTGAACCACTCAATAACCCAACCCCTGAGATATTAAACAGGAGATCAATATTATCGATAAGGACATTTTGTAAATCTTACCATCTTTTGGTAAAGCATGTACATTTATCTTTAGAACTGGTCTTTCTGCAGGAAGTCGACATGGTATCATCAGTTCATCATTGTTACGAGGTAGTGCTATCTCAAACCTAATAAAACAATAAGACTTAGTCATCATCCTTCTATAAACTTTTATACCAGCAACTGAGTCATATTTGTTTCCACAAAAGCACAAAAATTAGTGTATTTGAGAAATCTCCAATTAGCAAAAGGCATAAGATTGATAAATGTACAAAGTTTCATAAACATTTCTTGAAAGGTTTATGAGATATGCTCCAGAAAGCTAACAGAATGGAATTTATTATGGATGGGACTGATCAAAGAATTCCTGACTGCAGTATCCAGTATTCTTTTAATTGCGCCATTATTATTATCATTAAAACGATATTTATACAGTTCTCATCTTACACCGCAGAGATTGCTTGCACCATTAGGTTAACAATTTCTTATAAGGACTGTTTTGTTTTTTTATTTATTAAACAAATGTAAACTAACTTTTCTAAGAGACGTAGATACTGGGGTATAAGTTGATGTGGAAATTTAAAATGTGTTTCATCACCAACAGTTTTACCAGTAAACAACCACTTGGCAGAATCTTTCTTCATTATCTGTATAAAATATAATATGTCCAAAAATCATGTCTAATCCCTTTACAACAAGTTCATAGTGTTCTAGAACAGTTATTTGGTAAAACGTTGAGTTTAAATTGTCTTATAACAGTCGTTGTTGTTTGTATTTTAGAGGAGAGCCGAAAAAACCTCCCCTTGAAAAAATCACTCCCCTAATAAAAGCTCTCTCAGTTTCGATGAGAAGAGTGATTTAGAGATTAAGGTTAATGATCTGAAATTAAGGAGAGTGATTAGTTGTGTGTATGGGAAATGGTTCTGAAGATCAACAACTGCATATAAGGGGGTTATTACTGGTTTCATAAATGATAACAAACCCCCGATCACTTTGTAAAGGAGAGCAATTTTCAATTTTAAGGGGAGGGAGAAAAATCTCCCCTCAGTTAACATTAAGGTGCGACCGCTTGCCTTAAAAAACAAGCCAACAGTGAGGCTGATGTCCCCCGCCGAAATAGGAAAATAATTAGAGGACACATATAAAAATCAAATTGCGTATTGCTCTGCTTACCCTGAGCAGAAAATGCTCATTATCAAACTTAGTCAAGGTATTACTGTAATGAAACTATACACCAAGTTTCATCAATCTCACTTAATTAGAACTAAAGTTATCGTGTCCCAAAGCATCAACCAATCAAATTGCTTATCTCTGCTTACCCTAAGCGGAAAATGCTCATCTTCGAACTCCATCAAGGCATTGACCTAATCAACACATACACCAAGTTTGAACATTCTAGCTCAATTAGGAAGAGAGTTATCGTGCCCCAAAGTATCAACCAATCAAATTGCTTATCTCTGCTTACCCTAAGCGGAAAATGCTCATCTTCGAACTCCATCAAGGCATTGACCTCATAAACACATACACCAAGTTTGAACATTCTAGCCCAATTAGGAAGAGAGTTATCGTGTCCCAAAGCATCAACCAATCAAATTGCTTATCTCTGCTTACCCTAAGCGGAAAATGCTCATCTTCGAACTCCATCAAGGCATTGACCTAATAAACACATACACCAAGTTTGAACATTCTAGCTCAATTAGGAAGAGAGTTATTGTGTCCCAAAAAGTGTGACGGACAGACAGACGGACAGACAGATGGACAGACAGACGGACAGACAGACAGACAGACAGACAGACAGACAGACAGACAGACAGACAGACAGACAGACAGACGGACGAACCCATTTTAATAGTCCCCTGCTTTCTTCGAAAGGCGGGGGACAACAATAACTGTTATAACCTGTGAATGTTCCATTTTCCCTAATGTGTCTTGGAGGATCATTCCAGATGCATCATTAACTTGTAGTGAATGTTTCCCGTGTACAGAAAAACAAACATATTTTACCTATGTGACCATTCAAAAGTTGTACTAATATCTATTGACGATGAAAGTGAAGAATTGTTTAAAATATCTGTTAAATTATTTCGCACATTAATTATATCAGTGTGTGAAATTCTTAATTAATCATTTGTTCCTATCTATTTTGTTGGTTTATATCACGAAAGCAAAACAAAATTGACTTACCCCTTGTGGACTTATAAATGGATTAATTTGTGGAACTGTGACAACCTGAGCCATCATTCTACACAACCATCCTGGATTGATGAAATAAAAATCTCGTAGCTGTAAGGCTGATTCATTATAATGTAGTAAAACACCAGTTTCATGTAAAAACCAAACAGCTTGATCAAGTTCTTCTTCATCAAGATCAAGTCCAGCATTTTGTACTATTTTCAATAGTTGATTTCTACGTAGTACTGGCAGATTGGACTCAGGATTTTTAGCTTCTTCTGATAGAAGCTCAGAAAGTTTCTAAAATAAAAGTAATGATAATTTGAAAGTAAAGTGAGATGGAATGGGGTTTAATGTTTCATCAAAACAATGCTCCACTCGACTACCACAGCCCCAACCACAACGGCCCCCGACCAATCGACTACCATGGCCCTGATCACTCGACTACCACAGCCCTGATCACTCGACTATGACAGCCCTGACTACTCGACTACCACAACACTGATCACTCGACTACCACAGCCAATAAGTTGCAAGGATATAGAGTGTACTAAAATCAAACACAATATTTACTTGACTATTTACTCACAAACCACTATCATGATGAACTGATTCATTATCAGCAACAATGAAATATGCCTATACTCTAAATATATATTATGGGCTGTATTTGCAAAAATAATTAATAAAATAATAAAACATGCACAAACCACATAACTAGCTGGAACTTTCTGACCCATAACTGGTTTTCCTTTGACTTTAAAACTGTAAAATAAATAACATAATGAAATTTGTATTGTAATGAACAGAACACATTCCCGAGGCCCGGATTTCTAAATTTTTACAATTGCTCAACACATAAAAAAATTTGATTAATTAATCCATGTGCATCATGTATTTATTCTGATGTATACACAAGATATAGTTCTTATAGTTCTTTCAAATTAACCAAACTACAAGACACATATCTTTGCCATGTGTTACACTTGATATTGTAACACAGGTATCATTTAATTTGTGTATTTAGCACTAATTTCTTTTACATTCATTCAATATAAAGCTTTAAACTGGACACAAGTACTGATTTTAAATGATTTTTACGAATTCTTAAACAAAGATTTGAAATTAAATAAATTAGTGCTAAATACACAAGATTAAATGATACCAGGGTTACAGTGTGACAAATGCAAAAATTATTTACGCACCTAAGACATTCTAGTTGTGAATCTCCAATGTCCTCACTAGCAACCCCTAAATGTTTAGAACACTTCAAAACTGAAATGTTTGAATATAAAATAATAATTCCTAGACTTACTTATCAATAGTATCTTTAACTCTCCGTCGTAGTTCTTCCATTTCTGGTGTTTCTTTCGAACAGTCAACCATAGCACGTAATAATATCACAGGGTAGCCTGATGTAAACATTAATCATTATATTAGTAACGCAGTGAAACATAGCATTATATTAATAACTCAGTCAACCATAGCATTATATTATTAATGACTACAGTCAACAATAGCATTGTATTAATAACTACATTCAACCATAGCATTATATCAATAACTACAGTCAACCATAGGACGTAATAATATCACAAGGTAATATGACATAAATATTAATCATTATATTAATAACTACAGGCAACTAGGACAATTTGTATATAGTAATCGAATAGTGTGGGTTTTAAATATTTCACCGAGGCAATACTTTGGTTATTTTGAGACAAGCCTAGGGTAATTTTTATTTCTATAGTTACGGGTGCAATGCGAGGTATGATTATTTTGTCAACAGCAGTGTTTTTACCTATTCTTCTTTGATTTCCAACGTACTGGGAAGGACCTGTTTCCGTACCTTCCAAACAATTAAACACACTCAGCCGTGCAGGACCCACACTGTACAAGCAAAGGATAGACTTCAAAAATCTCAAATGTTCTTCCCATTGTGTCCAGTACCAAATTAAAATTTAGAAGTGAAAACAATTTTAAAATGAGTCTACCGGTAAACAAAAATTAAAACTATTTTATTACCTGGTTTATTGCTTAAAACATGCAACTTCTGTTCAATTTCTTGTACTTTTTCATATTCATCTAGAAAACAATGATAATATATACCAATAAACAATAGATTAATAGTTGGTAGTAAATGCAGGCCGCATGTACTCATTTCTCTAGGTTATTGCACGCAAGTAACTATTCTATTAAAAACACTCATTGTTGAGTAGTTTTATTAATCAGAAATCGCTCAGAAAACATCTCCGACGATCTAGACCCCCAAGAGTATTTTGACCTAAGGACCTAGGATGGTAGCCCCCTGCTATTGAAACAAAATTATTTTAAAATCCTGAATCTGCAAAATTTACCTCCTGGGTAAACAAGATTTAAACCTGTTAAAACACATGTAATGAGAGGATTATACTAAATAATACTATATTTACCAGGATTAAGTCGATCATAGTGTGTTCCTACAACAATGACAGGACAAGCTGGTGCTCGGGCTAATATATTAGATAACCATGGTTGTAGACGATCTATTTCACTTACACCTCGACTTACATCATACACAATCTTAAAATAACAAAAATACAATAGAGAGGGAGAGAGAGAGAGAGAGAGAGAGAGTGAGAGACAGACAGACAGGTTTAACATACTCGACACAAACTAAGTCAATTCGGGACTAACATATGGTTCAATTTTATTTCAACAAATCGCTTGTGCGTAGGGGGCTTTAGCAGTGGGATGAAACCCGAAAGACCCGGAGAAAACCCACGAGGTTGGACAGACGACCCTACTCCTTGTCACGTACAACCGGGGAATCGAAACCCCCGCCAGTTGACTCAATGACAAGACCTTATGATACAGCCCGCACGTGCTAATCATTTGGCCATCCACACACACCCCCCCCCCCAACCCAACCCACCCCCAATAGTGTGATGGCAACAGAATATTCTACATTGCGCCACCCTTCCCCACCCGTCCAGATCACATTTACATAAACAGTCAGGTGACTTGGAGAAAATCAAGATTAAACAGACCCAGGTTTCACATCCGGTCCATTGTTGACGTTGTTTAACTCAAATTACTGTAGTAAGATACTTTTTTTAAAAGAACATGACAAAATTTTGCCATTATCCCAACTTTTTAATATATCTTTAAGTGTTGTACAATATTTTGGCATTATCTTAATCTCTTAATATATATTTAAGGATTGTACATGATGAAAAATCTATAAATAAAAGTGTATTTATATGGTTGAAGGTTAAATTGTTTGAAAATCTAATTTTATGGCAAGCAACTGAGTGATAGGTAAGCTCTTCAGGCCATGGAAAAGAGAGTCCTGCAACAATTATATAGACTGGATTTACATCTTCTTTCAAAATAAAAAAAATATTAAAAATTTTAGCAGTAGTTTAAATATCTTTTAATTAAATTATACTTACTAAATACACAGCTCTATTTGATAAAAAACACTGATGTGTGCTGTAAAAGTCTTCCTGACCAGCAAAATCCCATGTTCTGATGGTGTATGCACAATTCTTCCCAAATTTATGTCTTTCATATCTAAAGGAAAAACAGGCCTGGTTTAAGACAGGGTAGTTTATTTATATATAACTACAATATCATGATTCATAAATAAAAATATACAGACCTTGAGTGTGATTTGAACGATATATTAATCCTTTGGTTGGTTCGTTTTTAATCAGATTAAATGAAAGCCCTCAAATTATCTAACATTAATATATATTATAATTTTATGTTCTTAATTAAACATTACATAATCAATATGGGTACATTTAATTGATTGTAAAGCCGTGATAAATTTAATATTTTCCGAAAAACACACATCTCGCACAGTAACTTAAATAAATTTTCGTTCAGTCTTGTTTACTTACTTCCAATCATTAACAATCACTCCAACTGTTGGTCGATCCTCTGCCGATTTTTTATATTTCTTACATAAAGCTCTTAATAGAGTTGTCTTCCCTCTACCACCATAACCAACAACCATAAGTTTCATACAAAAATAACGTTGAGCCTGCAGAATAATTTATATCTATCATCTTACACAAGGCAAAATGATGGAAGCATAGAAGTATGACAGTATCAATACTATAGGCTACATATTCACATAACTCTTTGAAATGTCAATGGACCTTTACTCAGGCCAAATGACATCTGCCTGCAACACTCTGCACTTTAAACTAGGGCTTTCATCACAAAATTACTTGTCTGCGATATCCCCCAAGGTGGAAGCGAACGTTATGCCTTAAGCAAGGAACCAACGATCTCAAAATTTTGTCTGTCAGTCTATGTTTGACAAATTTTGTTGAGATCAGATTAGCAAGACATTTTCTCAAATATATTACAATTTTTAGTAATATCACATATTTAGTATCCCAAAATATTTTTATATATTTTTACTTTTCTAATTTTGTGGCATGTAAATTGACTGACAGGTAAGTTCTCCAATTGGCCAATTTCACTGTCAGTCAGACAAGACTGGCATATATGAGTGAAACAAGAGCCCTCATTAAAGCCTTATCCTGATGTAAAAATGTTTACAGTTCCAAAATTATTAACCTTTTTAAGTCTATTATGTAGATATATGATGAGATCTCGAACTCTCCCCTTTAATAAGCTATCAGCTAGATCGATATTACAGCCATCAGTTGGCATCTGTGAAAAAAAAAATGTACGACATTCAACAGGCTTAAAGATTTATTTACTTCTCAGTTGTTTAAATGACATCTCTCAGTATGATTTAAACATTAACAACAAAACAACAAGTTATAGATAGAGAGAGAGAGAAAAATGGGGTTTAACATTTAATTGACACAAATTGGGTCATTTCGGGACTAACATATGGTTTAATTTTATTTTACTATTTCTCTTGGACATAGGGGTCTTTAGCAGTGGGAGAAAACTGGAGGACCCAGAGAAAACCCACGAGGTTGGACAGGCGACCGTATTCTTTGTCATGTACAAGCAGGGAATCACAACCACGCCACTTGACATAATGACAGACCTTTGGCCATCCAACCACCAAGGTATAGATACAGTTACTTCTCTGTTATTTGATATCGACATTAAGGATAATTGTACATGTTTACTGTCAAAATATCATAAACAAGTTTATCTTTTAACAAAATTTAAACATATATTTATATACATTAAATATATCAAATCATAAATATACTACCAGAACTACCATTTCGTCAGTAAGCAACCTACCTCCCATAATCTAGAGCATCTTCCTAATTCATCTGGTAATGTTGTTAATGTTTTATTATGACTAAAATCAAACGACTGAAGAGATATCAACTGACCAATCTCTCGGGGTAGCTGTAAATTTATAAATGAAAAAAAAAAAATTAGGTACAATTAGATTTATCCGTTTAACAATTGAACTGCCTGAATCTAATGCTCCTTAGAACTATATACTAATTCTGTGATTAGTTCTGGCAATTTGAGACAGTCTATGGAGCGTTAGTTGTGGTCAGCTTTGAAAAGGAGGTACAAAACCCAATCAAAAATACATCACTTTTCTCTAAGTTATCAAGGAAGCAGTGTAGTCAGAAGAAGCAAAAAATTTTAGAAAACATTCTTTTTGATTTTCTGGTACAAAAGAAATAAGAGATAAATTCTACTCACTTCTGATAATCTGTTGTGTGAAATATGAAGTTTTTCTAATTTACTCCAAGCTTTAGCACCTTCAAGATTCAACTTTAATTTGAAAAAAGAAACAATAGAATCTTAAGACGGTGACATCAGATAAAACATTACCAGCAGAGAGAGGGTGGGGGAGGGCGAATTGGGGAAAAGAGATAAAATGGGATTTAACGTCTTACTTTTCTACACCAACAGGGCTACTGATGACAGTGTGCTATGAGGAGGGAAGGGGAGAGGGCAGCAGGTGGGCCTGGTAAAAGCAAAGGGGAACTATTTGGTACAGATTATCAATATTGTAAATAGAATTGTAACATGGACGGGAAAACTTTCTTTGTTCTTTTCGTTGAATAAGCAGACTGTTTTCTCTCTAGTAGATGGGTAGCGCTTAACCGTGCAATAACTGGACATGTTCAATGATATTGCACACTTTTGCTGGTTATTTTCTTCAGCCTTTCTTTCCCAAGCCTAACCTCAGCCTCATGCTTTATCCTACACTTATCAAAGTAAGATGTGACTTATATTTGTTTAAGTTTGAATAATTTACCTTGCTAATCAAATTTCTTGAAAATATAACTTCTTTCAATATTGGTGACTTCCAAACAGAGGGAGCAGGAAAACCAGTTAAACCATTATCACATAATTCTATTAAACGTAAGCTGTAATAAAAATAGTAGAATCAATCATTCTATATGAAATGAAATAGGGTTTAACGGCTTACTTTGCTGCACTGACTGGGCTAATGAAGACAGGCATACACAATGCAGTGTGGTAAATTTTGTCCGGAACATCAGCGCTATTGCCTACTCTTAATTCGCATTTCAACCGCCAAGAGATCTTTTACATGCATATCAATATGTACACAGGACCTCGGTTTTCCATCCAATCCAATCAACTATTCGTTGTCCCTTGCCAGATCCTTCATCCTGTATGACAGACAAGATGAAACTTTCTCAGCCAACACTGGGATTAAACACAGGACATCCAGGTTAGCAGGCCAACCCCTACTCACTGAGTCACTGTAGCTCCCTACAGATCTTTGGTATTTACCCTTTACATTACTGGTCACCAGCTGACTCCATGAGATGATTTCTATATATGTTAATCTGATAATCTATGTCTAGAATGGGGCACCTAGAATGGAGCACCTAGAATTTAACTTTTCAACTTGATATCTAATCATATGTTTAAATATTTTGAGGAACAACAGTGGTTTGCTCCCGATGTTGGCTGAAAACATTCCTGGGAATATCCAGCATGGTTTTCCCATTCTCAGTGATGCAAGATGGATGGTCTAGCTAGGGGATCAAACATTAAGATCCTGTGTACGGATGGAATTTTATGAAGAGTATTCTACTTTCCGAGTAAAATTTCTTTTATACCACACTTTTCTCTCCAGAGAAATAAACTACTTCTAGTTTCAAAATAATTCATCATGAACAAAAGATACTTCTCTTAAAAATGAAAATTAATGTGAACAAATATTCAACAAACCTAGGTAATTCTAAAACAAATTTTGGAACATAGAACGGCTCCTTCCCATAAAGATTATTTTTGTTGAGACGAAGTTGATAAAGTCTGGCTAAAGATTTGGATATGTCTTCACTTGGTAAAGTTTCTGAAAATGAGAGAACAATGAATATGTGAAAAGTATCGATATTCTTATTATGGAAGACAGCAACAGAAATGTGATCTTATGTCCACTTGACAAAAATTAGGTCATTTCAGGACAAACATATCGCTGAAATTTATTTCAATAATTCGCGTTCGCATAGGTGTCTTTAGCTGTGGAAGGAAATGGGAGGACACGGAGAAAACCCATGAGGTTGAAGAGGAAACCCTACGCCTTGTCACATACAAACAAGGAATTGAAATCATGCCACATGATTCAGTGATAGATGTTATGATCTAACGCACACCATTCAACTACCCAATAACAATATTCACACATCAGTTTAACTATCATCAGTTTCCATATGTCTGTGATAACACTGAGCAGACAATATGAGTCAAATATAATTTGGGGAGTTCTGGTAACTGAATTTATTACCTAAGTAATGAGGGACATAGGCAGCCTAGGGGCTTAGGTATTTCCTAGGGTGAGCTGTCCACAAAGTAACAGAAACAATGAGAGAGAGACAGAGACAGAGAGGGGGGGGGGGGGTAATTCCCACAGGTCATTTCAGAATCCAATTAGTATGACAGCTTTATTTCAATAATTTGCTTGTGCACAAGACCCTTTATAGGTGGAAGGAAATCACTAAAACTGGTGAAAAAACAAGGTGACACTTCTTGTCAAATATAACCCTAAGATTGAAGCCATGTCTTGCATTTGACAACTCAGCTCTTCAAACCCATACAAGGTACGAATGACCATTATTGGGCCACATTAAATTGTAGTCAAAACTCTGGTTATCTACAAAAAATATTCAAATTGCCGAGGACACATTTAATATAAATTAATAATTATCTACCTAATCCATTGTTTGCTATGGCGAAAGTTTCCAGTTTAATGCAATTCGTGAAAAATTTATCTCCAATGACTTTCAAGGAATTGTGGGATAGATCTAGATTGCGTAACTCTGGCAGGTGTAGCGGTGAATCTAGTACACCATCTAGATTATTTCTGAAAAAGTAATATTAATTAATAATAATAATTATCTAATTCATTTGATAGTATACCTGAAATCCAACTAAAATTAAAGTTGCTAGTAAATGAAATGAATTGAAATGGAATGGGGGTTTAACGTCCTACTGTTCTGCTCCGACTGGGCCAATGTAGATGGCCATACGCCATACAGTGTGCTATGTGGGAAATTTTGCCCAGGCAGCTGCACTATGGCCTACTCTTATATCGAATTCCAACTGTCAAGAGATTTTTTATGTGCACATCAATGTATACACAGGACCTAGGTTTTCCATCCCATCCGAAAGACTAGACAATTGTCTTTGTCAGGCACCAATGACAAGAGGAAACCACGTCAGAAAATCCTGTAGAACTTTCATGGCCAATGCAGGAGCAAACACGCGACCTCCAGGCTAGTGAGCGAGCGTCTTACCCACTTAGCCACCATGGCTCCCCATAGTTGCTAATAGGCACTGATACAATCTATATATATATGTATACTTTAATACATATATATACATATCACAGCTAGTTAAACAAGACAACAAGTCAAGTATAAAAATAGAATTGAAACACAGGTAGAAACTTGCATGTAGAAAAAAACAAAGGCTATAAATTTTATTATAAGGTTCAGAATTAAAGACACCTTCTTTAAAACAGGCATGATAATTTTCATTATTTAAAAACCCTGATAAAAATGCCTGTTTTAAGATTCTCTGTGTTCTCATATGCCGTACCATAAAAATGGGGCTTCTGATGCCAACGACCTTTCTTCTGCTAATACTGATAAACAATATACACATTATTCCCTATCTAACAAAGAATGAAGAACAACATCTTATTGTTGTCTAAGATTTAACACAGGAACAAGGTCACGAGAAAACCAATAAATGTGTGAATTAAATTTGAGACAATAAAACTTTTTTGGCAAACTTTTTACAAAATGTACAATGCAGAGAAAAATGAAATGGGGTTTGACATTTTATGTGCACCCCATTGTGTATTAAAATGACTACTAGTAGATGCTTCTCTTAGTCTTGCCCTACAATCTGCACCACACACAATAAGAAATCTGAAATATCCTGTGCAACATTATCCAACACTGGGATCAAGCCCACAGCTGCAGGCTAACCATGGTCTGAAGAGATCCCAATGTCCAGGACTTTGAAAATCCAATGGAGTGCCTCAGAGGGCCTCATCACAGCCACTAGCAGATGGAGTACTCAGTCTGACCATTGCTCACATTACTTTTTGCGCAACTGAGATTTTTTTACGCCTCCCCCACCCCCCCCCATCCCTGATGTGGGCCAAGGCTCAACAGTGCCACATAGTTATTTCAACTATGATCAAACCAGAAACATCCTGGTTAGTCAGCCACTGTTTTAGAATTTTAGTCTTCAGAATCAGAACGTCAATGTCGAAACATTCTTCAATTTTTGTTATTAAGAAGGCAAATAAACAAAATGAGGATAATTTCTACTCTCACTTGAAGAAATCAATGAAAATTTCATACTTTGATAATTTCAATTTTTCCAAATGTGGCATAATCTTGTATAAGTAATTAGGGAATTCCTTCAATCCATTTGATATCAAGGTCAGGTCTCGGATACTGAAGGTCACAAATGGTTTCTTCAGGCCAAAAACTTGTATCTATTAAAAAAATAAAATAAAAGAAGTATAATTAATCATTTCAAACAACTTCATCATTCTATTTTCCAAAAGATTTGTTTAATTTAAAGATTTGACAACAGGTGTTTTTGGAACAATTTAGTTGTGGTCTCTATCCTGTATTGTGTATATTAATTTTAAAATTTAAGATAATTTATGTTTATGCTATGACTCTTAAAAGAGTCAAAGCATAAACATAAATTGTCTTAAAAGTATAAGTCCTTCAAATTCAAATAATCATAATATATCATTGAATAACTCTTCAGAGCCCTTCACCTATTGTCAATGAACAAATAACTCTGACCTTCAGAGCCCTTCACCTATTTTCGATGAACAAATGATCATTGAATAACTCTGACCTTCAGAGCCTTTCTCCTATTGTCAATGAACAAAAGATCATTGAATAACTCTGACCTTCAGAGCCTTTCACCTATTGTCAATGAACAAAAGATCATTGAATAACTCTGACCTTCAGAGCTCTTTAACTATTGTCAACAGACAAAAGACCATTGAATTACAGACACAGGTAATAACAAGATGTGGTTTTATAAACACTTTCAAGAAGATAATATTGTTTATGATCAAAGACCGGGCTATAATGAGTATCAGTGACTAGATTCGTTCGTATTGAACTTTTCAGATGGACTGGACTCAAATTGTGGGCTTCTATTTATACTATTCCTGCACTTGTCAGGTTTGCCAGACTCACAAATTAGTGGGGTTACCAGAGTTGGTGTCCTAGAGGATCAGTGTTTACTACCAGGGTTGGTAATCAGCTGACTGTTTAGACTGATGTGCTAGTATGCATGTTGGAGTTGACTAGGATATTTTATATATAAACACTTACTTGATTTTTAGTTAAATCTACAGTAGACAGACAGGGACAAGCTGATAATTCAACAGGAAAGGCTGTCAGGTGGTTATTCTTTAAATCTAGTGTTGTCAGGTTTGTTAATTGCTAAAAAAATACAAGATTTATAAATGTGTAAAACCATTGTTACATAGGTAATTTAATTATCAAACATGTAACACAGTGGCGTAGCACAGGGATTTCCTGGAGTTTTTACCCCCTTCATCCCCACACACATATGAAAAGGACAATAAACTGTTAAACAAAAAGCGGTGTTTATTCATAGATAAATAAAACTGTATTGGCCATTTTTTTTCAATGCAGTATCACAAAAGTGATCCTCCATACCCCCGAAAAGTGATGCCCACCCCATGCTTCCCTACTGCCCTGCCCTAGCTGCAGTACTGATCTTACAAGCCTAACCAATTATTTCTATATGCAATTGTTTGATCTATGTTATGGCATGGGAGTCAATACGTTTATTCATGCACTTGAATTACTCCAGTTTATAATGTAGCTCATTTGACCACGAAAAACAAACGATCAAGTTCTGTTGATCTAGGATCGTCTTACAACTGACTAAACTAAAATTAGAAACAAGCCACTCCTTGTATTATCAGAATATGTAAAATGTTACTATGAAATTATAACGGTTCTATAATAATGAAACAATGGTGTACTGTCAAGATATAAAATCATAGTTTGTCACGTATTGATCCAGTAGTCAGGTATATGAGGGGTGATTTATTTGAACAAATCATTACTCAAAGCCAGGTGTGTAGCCTCCATATGGCAGTATTTAACTTGTATCAGATCTAAGACTTAGTGTGAACATTTATCTTGTAATTGTCAGTATGTTTGTTGGATTGTTTCTACTTGTGACCATTCCAACGGCTCTTGCTGTGTTTGGTTATCAGCCGTACCAGTTCCAGAGAACACCATACAGATATAATCCTTATGCATCTCCATATGGATATCCGCAACCATATCGACAGCCATATCCGCAGCCATATAGATATACCGCTCAACCGCTCCCCCCACCAACTCCAATGCCAACGCCACTACCAGCACCATCCCCATATAAAGCAGCAGCAAATAATATGGGAACCTTACCAATTGGAATGTATGATAACTTTGTCTGCAACAAAATAGCTGGTAGAACAAGAAGAAAGAGAGATAAAAAATTTCAAAAAGCTTTTGGGCATTATCTGAATCCAGTCACTGTTTCTGCTTACAATCAATTGCTCCCTTTTGTTGCTGCAAGTGAACAAAATCTAATTTGGCAACAGGTCCATCTCCTTGCAGCTCAAAGACGCTCTCCTGATAACATTGTTCAAACGATAATAGCAAATCGGATGTATCAAAATGGTGAAAATGGAAACATTAATGATATCTACAATGCCATGACTCATTTGTCTAACACACCTGATGATGTAGTAGAGGAAACCCAGACTAGAGCAGGAACCGCCGTATGTACAACAACAAATGCTTTCTACTGCAGTTACATCAACAAACTACGAGCCAGTGCTCCTTATTGCAGCAGCGCAGCACTTAGTAATCAACTGTATCAACAATGCTGTAGTGCTTATTCTACCAATCCATTGAATACAGCACCAACACCTGTACCTTCAATATACTCTAGTCCAACCGCACCAGCTGTACCATCAGTCCTTTCTAACCCAATTAATCAAAGTAACTGTGGAATCAGTAGCACCAATCCTGCCACTAGAATGGCAGAATTCAGTGAGAAGATGAATCAGATGAGAATCGTGGGTGGAGTAAACACAGAGAAATGTGAATATCCATGGATGGTAAGATTGAGGGTGGGAAATGGCATGTGCGGAGGTAGTATTATTGATGCCTACCATATTGTTACAGCTGCTCATTGCGTTGGTACGAATCCAGCCTCTACTATTGGTGTTCATGCTGGGGAATATGACTATAACAATCCTTACGAAACTAATGATCAGACGGTTAAGGCTGCTGCTGTTATCAAGCATCCCAACTACAGAGATCTTCCCAACGGTGAACAAGAGAATGATATCGCAATTATCAAACTAGCCCAACCGTTACAATTCAACAACTGTGTTCAACCAATTTGTCTTGCTAATGATGGGGATGGTGTCGCCCTACCATCTGGAACACAATGTACAATAGCCGGTTGGGGTACTACATCCTCTGGTGGGCAAGCTTCTCCTATCCTTCAAGAAACAACTATTCCTACTTATAATGGATTTGAATGTAGCAAATATTTCTCCAGTACCGTTCCCTCTAATCCAAATATCCAACTCTGTGCTGGTCGACCTGTAATAGGAGGTGCTGATACTTGTCAAGGTGATTCTGGTGGACCACTGTTCTGTCCTATCAATGGCCGCTATGTACAATATGGTGTTGTCTCCTATGGAGCTGGTTGTGCCTCTGCTGGTGCTGCAGGTGTCTACACAGATGTAGGCAAGATGCGACCATTTATTGACAGTGTTATCAACAGCGGTAACGGAAAGTAAAATAATAATGAAGCCAATAATAACATAAACAATTTATTCTCAATTAAAATTACTGAACAATTCTTGCACTTGTACTTTTAGCTATCAATTCAAAGGATATACTGACTGTTCTTTGTGAGAATATTTCCTTTTTCAAAACTTTTGTGTCTGTAGTAAAACTCGCTGAAAATTCATAATACTGGCACTTTTAAATTTTGCACATATAATTATGTTTTCAATACCAAGGATTAACTGAATATAATAAATATATGTTATATAACTAATTATCAATACCAAGGATTAACTGAATATAATAAATATATGTTATAACTAAATATCAATACCAAGGATTTACTGAATATAATAAGTATATGTTATATCACTAATTATCACTATTCAATTGTTGACATAATCTAATATATGCAGTAAGTAAAATTGTTTTCTCTGAAGTATTTATTCAATGTTTTAAAGAGAGTGTTGTATCTATTGAAGGAGCGAGGAACCAGCCTGACCTAGGAGCCACAGCCGTTCAGTGAATAAGGTCCCAAGTTTTTGAGTTCTGTCCCTCTTGTCAGGGAGCCACGGTGGCTAAGTGAGTAAGACACTGGCTCGCTAGTCCGGAGGTTGCAGGTTCGCTCCTGGTTTTGGCCAAGAAAGTTCATCAGGATTTTCCAGCGTGGTTTCCCCTTGTCAATGGTGCAGGATGGAGGGCCGGACAAGGACAGGGGTCTTGTTGTTCTGATATGACAAAAGAACAGGCCCTGTGTACACATTGCCATGCACGTAAAAGATCCCTCGGAAGTTGGAATACGATATAAGTGTAGGCCGTAGTGCCGCTGTCAGGGAAAAATTCTCTCTTATCCCACACTGTATCGCATATGCCCATCCTCATTAGCCCAGTCGGAGCAGAACACGGTAGAACATTAATCACCATTTCATTTCATTCATTTCCCTCGTCAGTGGTGCAGGATTTAGGCAAGAAACAGCATTAAATCTTTTGGATGGTACGGAAAAACAAATTCCTGTGTTCACATTGGAGTGCATCTAAAAGAATCCTTAACAGTTGGAATTCGATGGCGAGAAGGTAGAAATCCCACTGTCTCTGGGTAAATTTCCCTCAAAGAACACCGCATGAAATATCCACATTGTCAGAAAAACAGGTCATTATAACCCATCTCATTTCATTTCCAGACTGGGCTAACCCACTTTAAAAAGCATACTTTGATTCTCTGGAAAAAGGAGCTGCGCTGGCTCCCTATTATGGAGATCCCATTTAATGCTTGCTAATATGGAGATCCCATTTAGTCATTCTGACGGACGAAATACTGAGCACCTGTGTACAAACTGGCGTGCACATAAAGAAGCCTTGCCAGTTGTCGGGGGGAAATCTCCCTCATAGCACTCTTCATTAGTCCAGTTGGAGCAGAAAAGTAGGACATTAAATGCCTTTTTATAAATGACTGCATATTTTTCCAAAATATCTATCTTAAGGATAGAAAAATTTAGTTAGAGGGGCCCTGGGGCAGGTTGGGGGAACATTCTGTCATTTGTGGCTCATATCTGGACCAACCCCAACAAATAGCTCAAATTTAAAAGTTTCATACAAATACAATAAGTGAGAGAAAGAGAGAGAAATGGGTTTTAACGTCCACTCGACACAAAGTCATTTCGGGACTAACATATGGTTCAATTTTATTTCAATAAATTCACTTGCACGTAGGGGGTCTATAGAATTAAAGGGAAACCGGAGGACCCGCAGATAACACACAAGCTTGGACAGGCGACCCTACTCCTTGTAACGTTCAACCGGGGAATCGAAACCACACCAGTTGACTCAATGACGGACCTTATGATACAGCGCACACTTGCTAACCATTCGGGCATCCAACCCCGCCAAAAATAAGTAAATTACTTAAGCGGGTGGGCCAGAGTTACAAGCCAGATGGTTTCATACAAACACAATAATAAGTGAATTATTTAAACTGGGGGAGGGGGGCAGGCCTATAGGAGCCCAACCTGGACCTGTAAACCTCTCACATAATAATTTAGATGTTAGGAAGTCCAGTAACAAGCCAGATGGTTTCATACAAACACAACAATAATAGAATTATTTAAGGGGGGGAGGGGGTGGCATATAGGGCCACCAATCTCGACCTGTCATTGACTGTACCTGTAAACCTCTCACATAATAATTAAGATAAGTCCAGTAACAAGCCAGATGGTTGTTTTCCCTCATTATAACTTTAAATCAAATAACATAACATACAATATTCTATTCATAACCCCAACAAAATCAACAGACTGTAATAGGTACAGTCACTCCTTTATGTCTATATCACAGCACAAATTGGTAATATCATAACAAGCATTCTTACACGTAAATATTTATACAACATGTATAATAACAATACACCTAAAGGTGATCAAGGACTCGGACAACTTATATTTCATATACACGGTCAAAATATTTGAATAGAAGATATTGCCGATTGTTACATTTACCTTGAGTTCAGAAAATAAGTTTTATTTGTCTATTTGATTATCTGCATAATGATTAATGTATAAGTACACCCCTGTTGGAATTAATTGCATCACCGATCACTGTAACCCAGGTATCATTTAATCTTGTGTATTTAGCACTAATTTCTTTCACATTCATTCTTTGTTTAAAAATTCGTAAAAATCATTTAAGATCACCCCAAATCATCTTATTTGTACTTGTGTCCAGTTTAAAGGAGACAATTCAGTTTTGATAATGAGTGTCCAATTTACAAGCGCTTAATTTCTTGAGCACTGTTAAAAAATAAACAACCCAATTGATTAGTGTTAGATACACAAGATTAAATGATACCCAGGTTACAGTGCATGTTTTTCACTGATTTTCGGCTACTCTGATTGTTCAAAGTATCATATTGTTTTACAATATGGGAATTAGTTTAAATGTCATCAGCAGTATATATGACTATTCTGAATCAGAGAGAGAGAGAAAAGGGGTTTAATGTCCATTCGACACAAACTAGGTCATTTTGGGACTAACATATGGTTTAATTTTATTTCAATAATTCACTTGAACGTAGGGGTCTTTAGAAGTGGGAGGAAACCGGAGGACCCAGAGAAAACCCACAAGGTTGGACAGGCGACCCTACTCCTTGTCACGTACAACCAGGGAATCGAAATCACGCCAGTCGACTCAATGATACACTTTACGATAAAGCAAGCATGCTCTAATCATTCGGCCACCCAACCCCCCTATTCTGATTCAAAATGAGTCGATTTATGAATGTGCTTCAGTGCACATGTGCCGGTTCGCAGCTCTATGATACAAACAGATTCAATTGATTATTGCATCATATTTGTGCCAGCAAGCCTATTGCCTTTCGTTCATTTTTTCGTGGACACTGCACCAACTAAGCTCAGTGCTATACAGACTTCTGACAGAAAAATCTTACAAATTTACAGCAAAATCATCAATCTGATTAAAACACACATCCTATTTCGTTTCGTTTTTTATAGTTCAAAATTTCATTTTACTTGTCTTTACTACACTAGGATCTGGAAGGGTTGTTATATTACCAGCGTTCTGGATGAAGTGAGGGATTAGACAATGAAACAGTCTGTTACGGCGAGTGTTTGGCGTGAGATGCACGGAACTGTGTTTAAACCACTAGAAACTTCAACACTGATTGATTAACCAATGTCTGATGTCATAGGGTCAAAAACCGCTCACACGACTGCTGACATGACCTTCCAGTACAACCGGTAAAAGGATAAAAAAAAAAAAACTAAATAGTATTTTACTCAGATTGCAAAATCATGAACTTAAAGTTAGAATTGGGACGTCCTATATTCAAATGGTTCTAAAGTCTAAAACCTTTTTTTGTTCAGAATGTTTCAATATACTTACTTGGCTAAATTTCATTGGAAACTGTGAAATGGTATTATTTGAAGCTATCAATCTCTGCAGCTGATTAAAATGTTCTAAGAATTCTTCTCCTTGTTCCACTAGTTGACTAAACGTTGATATTTTATTAGAAGACACATCCAGACATTTCATAGTAAATTCTGGTGTTATCATAAAATCGTGTTCCAAATTATCGTCAATACTGGTTTCCATTTCTGAAAAAAATGAAATGGGGTATCATCTTCCTAATTTTCCCACTGACCATACTATTGAAGATGGGCATATGCCTTACATGAGGGAATTTTGTCCAGGCAGCTGCATTATTGTCTACTCTTTAATGGAATTCCAACTGTCGAGGGTTGCTTTTTTTACGCGCACGTCATTGCATTCACTGGACCTCGTATTTTGTCCCATCCAAATGACTATACATGGTTCTTTGTCAGGCCCTCTGTCCTGCACACTGAGAGAGAGAGAAATGGGGTTTAACGTCCACTTGACACAAACTAGGTCATTTCAGGACTAAAATATGGTTTAATTTTATTTCTATGATTAGCTTGTGCGTAGGGGTCTTTAGAAGTGGGAGGAAACCGGAGGACCCGGAGAAAACCCACGAGGTTGGACAGGCAACCCTACTCCTTGTCATGTACAACCGAGGAATCGAAACCACGTCAGTTGACTCAATGACAGACCGTATAATACAGCGCGCACATGCTAACCATTCGGCCATCCACCCTACCTGAATCTTTTAAAGGTGTACTTTAGAATATAGTGTCTGTCATAGAGTCTGTGGTTTTGATTACCCGCTTGTACATGACATGGAGTAGTATCGCCTGTACAACCTCATGGTTTTTCTTCGGGTCCTCCGGTTTCCTCCCAACTGCTTAAAGATGGAAATAAAATTAAATCATCTGTTAGTCCCGAAATTAATGTGTTTCTGTCTAATAGACTCTTAAAAGATTCGGCCATCCACCCCCCCCCACCCCCTGCAAGATGAGAATCTGTGATAAAGAATATTTTAAGTATAAATAGTTATACCTGTACATGTATCACAAACACTAAATCTTGATCTGTCTTCATTCTACAATGATAAATATTATTTATAAATACATTCCCTTCAACATACATGCTGATAAAAGGGGTGTAACTCCAAAGGGTTGCAGATCACTGTAGATCAACAGGATTCTTCCTAATGTTTCACGACAAATGTGAATAAGATCTGTTAAAAACTGTAGCCTCTATCACATTCACAAGGTTTGTCCTCTCATGACCCCAATGATTTACGTCACATTTGTTTTTTTTAGAAAGGGGGCATGTAAGGTTGTGGAATGCTGAAAACCGATACCATGCTTCAGACCACATCTGTTGCCTCTATTGACAATAAACGTCATCCGCTTATAAAAATTGCGTTACAATGACCAAATATGAAACTTATACATGTACTTTACTTCTGCTTCCCTTTACTGCTGCTTATGAATACAGTATCTATAAATTATAACTTACAAAATCAATAGAAAAAAGACCAGATGATTCAGAACTAAGATCCGAAGATTCTCGTATAGAGGATTGTTCCAAGGTTTGTCTTGAGGTTTGTCCAGTGTAAGTAGGATCTTCAATCTGTGTATATTTCCGTTGCCATTTTACTATATAAACATTGTATACAAGTAATTATATATGCATTTACTATATAGTCCATATTTCATAAATATTTTATACATGTAAATATATGTTGTATATGTATATGTATTTACTATAGTCAAAAATATACCAGTACATGTGTATGTATTTTACTATAGTTCAAAATACAAGCTTTTATATCAGTACATGTAATGGTATAAAATGTATATATTTTTACTATAGTCCAAAATATAAATATTTCAAAAGATGATAATTGTATATGTATTTTACTCCAGTCCAAAATATAAACATTTTATACCATTACATGTTTATGTATTAAAGACCAAAATATAAACAATTTATAAATTTAATACAAATATGTAGATTTCCATGAAATTCAAAAATGTTATATTACAATGTCAGGAATTTAAACTTCTATACAACACATTTTTACCTGGAGGTGCAACCATTCCTTTCCTTTTTGTTTTTCCTTTCTGTCGTCTGGGATCAGATGGACTAAAAGGGATATTAGCCCCAGTTAAAGTTGTCTTTTTCCAATCTTCCCACTCATCTTCAGAATGCTCAAATAATGGATCATCTGTAGGGATACGAAAACAAAAATTCATTTCTAATTTATTACATAAATTAAATGTCTAATTAGTTTTCTACTATTTGCTTTAATAAGTGTCTGTCAAAGATTGTTCTTATACACTTAAATATACAATATCTTTAAAGGGCATCTTTAATTATCTTTATTAACTGCAATGTCTCAAGCTTTATGGATAACATTCACTATCTTTATTAACTTCAACGTTTCAAGCTCTATGGAGTGAGAGAGAGAGATGGGGTTTAACGTCCACTCGACACAAACTAGGTCATTTCTGGACTAACACATGGTTAATTTTTATTTTAATCATTCGCTTGGGCGTAGGGTTTCTTTAGGGGTCGCCATTATCAAGCAATGATCCTTAAATATACACCTTATTATTTGTCTTTAAAGTACCTGAACATCATTTGAGAGATGTTGAATCCCTTGCAAACTACAATATTTTGAAAGTTGAATCTCTAAAGGGAATATCAGTCCAAAACAAGTAAGCACCACATTTAATATCTTAAGTGTTGGGTAAAATGTTTTCTGAAGAACGGCGCTATGATCTACTCTTATTTTGATTCCAACTGTCAAGAGTTCTTTACGTGCATCGCAACGTGTACAGGACATAGGTTTTCTGTCTCATCCGAACAACTAGATGCTGTTCTATGCCAGACCCTTTTGTCCTGCACCCCCAATCCCTCCCACCCCCACAAAAGGAAATACCCTGAAAAAGCACAGGAAAAGTTTCTTGCCAACACTGATAGCGACCCCATGATCTCCTGATTAGCGAGCTAGTCATTGAACTTAATCATTGAGCCACCATGGGTTTGTATGATGAAAGAGATTGTTTAAATATTACCGGGTATAGGAATGATGAAAGCAGGTTCGATTTTATCTTTCGGTGGAGAATCGCTTGTAGGACTGGAAGATTTCTTAGTTTCATCACCACCTTGGCGATAAAATCTTTTTGGAAAGCTTTTTGCTCTTTTGGTGTTTGATTTGAGATCTTCAGCTTCTGATATAAAACAAAGTTAGGTTGCCAGTCAATGAAACATACACAACCACAGTAGCTAAGTCGTCCTATCATGTGATATGGTAGGAATTGGGAGCAATTACAAGATATCAAAAATGAATCAAGGGCAACAATTCAAGAAATATTTATCAGAAATAACTAATTACAGGATATTAAAAATGAATCAAGGGCAACAATCCAAGAAATATTGATCAGAAATAACTAATTACAAGATATTAAAAATGAATCAAGGGCAACAATCCAAGAGATATTTATCAGAATTGACTAATATTTTGTGGCTTTTACCCAACATTAATATAAACAAAGCATTTACTGGTAATCAGATGACAACTTAGGTGTTTCGAATTATTGGAAATTGTTGCAAATATATTGGCTTTTTACTGCATATTAATTTAGTTCCATGCAAGATATAAAAGAATATGGATGGACAGACGTGGGTGACAACAATACATAGTTTTTTGACCATAAAAGGTTTTTAAATAAGAACTCAATTGCGAGTTGATCTTGGGGACCCCGGCCATGGCTCACTCGACATCCTGTACCTTCGAAATTGAAAAGTTCAAACTATTCCATCATGAAGTTGTTAGCAGTGATAGGTATCATACACAAGACAGCAGATTCTTTCTCGAACCACCAATACCACTTCACATTTGAAGAGTTCACTAATTTTTGTTGTTCATCGGTATTCTACAGCACTCCAGAGGTATTTGAACAAAATGAAACCTACCTCTGATATTTCGGACAATTTCAGCTTTATGTTTAATAAAATCACAATTATTCCTACGAACTCGCCAACATTGATGTCTCATTATCTCTAGATAGGAATCACTAGGAGAATGGCTCAAGCGTTTGGTTCGTTTTTGTTCACTTTTTTTGATTTTGGCAAACAGATTCTTCCCTGCTCCTGAAACAAAGAAAATATATGCAAATTGTGTTTTTCATTTGAAAATATAAATTTCAAAAGCTTTTAATTGTTACAAATAAGTACTTACTTATGAAGAAACTAGAGAAAAGGAATATTATTTACATTGAGCATTGTAGCTCAATTTTGAAACCTCTCGAATCTACTGCCTCAAACTGCCTTTAAATAGTTTGAACAGTTTGAGGTGCTAGATGGAGCAAAGCTTAAAGATCAGAATCTTACTGTATGTTTTATGGATTTGATTATCAAACCTGGAGAAGGTCTTGTTTCTTTTTGTCCACCAAATGTAGATAAAAACCACTCTGGTCTTAAATTACCCAATCCAAAATCATTCCATATAACAGTACCAGCTGAAAAAAAAAAACATGCAATTATTACCCTAATTAGTAATTCCTAATAAATATAACTTAATTAGAAATTTCAATTCAATAGTACATCTACACAAATTGTACTCAAATTAGCGATTCCAAAGAAATATTACTCATTAGAATTTTTTTTAATCTGTTGTTATCATAATTAGTAATTCTATACAAATCATATTCTAATTAGAAATTCCATACGATACAAAGTATATCCAAATTAGTAATTCCATATAAACATATCCCAATGAGCAATTCCATACAAATCATATCCACATTAGCAATTTGATACAAAACATAGCCTAATTAGTAATTATATACAAAACATATCCTAATTAATAATTCCATACAACACATATTCTATTTAAAAATTTCATACAAAACATTTCCTCTAATTAGTAATGTCATACAAATCATAACCTAATTAGTAATGTCATACAAATCATAACCTAATTAGTAATTCCATACAATCATAGAATGTAGTAATTCCATAAAATACATATCCTAATTAGTAATTCCATACAAAGAAATATCCTTATTAGTAATTCCATTCAAATCATAGCCCAATTTCATGCAAAACATAGTCTAATTAGCAATTCCATACAAAAAATATCTTAATTAGTAATTCCATACAAAAAATATCCTAATTAGTAATTCCACATAAAAATATCCTAATTAGTAATTGTAGGATTGTAACTGGTTATAATACTTACCTTTCCTTAGATCATGATCCTGGTCTACATACGGTAATAACAAACTGGTTATATAATGATACTGTTTATCTAAACTATGTCGTAATGGCGTTCGGACATCTGTTACTTCATGTTTTAATAATAATCTAACCATATTCTCATCTTGATTCTTGACCGCAAAATATAATGGTGTTTCTTGTCCTTCCCCAATATTTACATCCGAACCAATTTCTAATAAACATTCTACACCCTATCAACAGAAATGTATAAACCTCAACTGTATCTACACATTTTATTAAACAAACGAATACGGTGGTCAAGGATTAAAGAAAATAAAACTACTGCATTATACAAGTAGCAGAACAAAGTAATAATAAGGCTATCTATAAAGCGTGTTAATACTGAAGAATAGTTTCTAAGGCACTGTTGGTTGTTATATTTACTGATTATTTATAGATGAGGGTTTTTAGATAGCGCTGAATCTTTCCAATACAATGTATATAATAGAATTAAAAGATATTCATAAGCAGACGGTGAGCCGCGTTGGCTTAGTGAGTAAGACATTGGCTCAATAATCTGGAGGTCCCAGGTTCGATCCAGGTGTTGGCCGAGAAAGTTCATCAGGATTTTCCGGTGTGGTTAATGGATCTTTTTTTAATCCAACTGAATTCAAGCCAGGAGATTCTTTATTAAATGTTAATCAATTTGAGTACATTTTACCGTGGATTAAGCCATGAATAATTAGACATGGTCCGAAAATGCACAAATGAGATCGGCAGCATTAATTATTTCTTGGTTTGCCTCAACTAAACTACAAAAAAATAAAATAACTGAATTGTAATTTTTAAATTTCCCAGGGCTCCTCTCCAATTTTTTTGTTCAACCCATAACTATAAAGTTCACACAACATATACTTACCGCTAAGAAACCCTTGGCACATGCTGCTAATAACATGGACGATTTCAGATTCTGTTCACAACCAATAACATATAAACATTCACTGGCTAAATCATGTAACCCTGTAAAATAAAATTATTACCATCACCTAATTTGTATGTAAGAAAATTTTATCGCATTGATGATGTCTGACATTAAATGCCAGGGAAAAAAGTACAGAATGAGAGAGAGAGTACAGAATGAGAGAGAGAGAGTACAGAATGAGAGAGAGAGTACAGAATGAGAGAGAGAGAGTACAGAATGAGAGATAGAGAGTACAGAATGAGAGAGAGAGAGTACAGAATGAGAGAGAGAGAGTACAGAATGAGAGAGAGAGAGTACAGAATGAGAGAGAGAGAGTACAGAATGATGGGTGCAATCTATCGTAAAGATTCCAGACATCTTTTATCAAATGGTAAATGAATGTCAAGTTTACCTCTATCGTCATCATATCTCTCTAATATCTGAAAGAGTATTTCGTGACAGTCTTGTTTAACCAGTACTTCACTCATTGGTCTACCTTTCTCGGCTAAAATCTGCATCAAAACCACTGCCTACAACATAAACAAATTTATATTGATTATTGTTTCTATCTCATATTCTAATAAATGTTCTCAAATCCAACAGTAAGTGGGCATGGCTAGCCCATGAGGGATTGCATTGTTGATGATCACATGTTATCTATGCAAGCCAAGAATTCTATCCCATGATGGTAAGTGATAAGGAGTAGGGCCACTTGATGATTCTTTTGGCTGCTTCAAGCTTCTGTTTCCCTGCCATTGCCAAAAAGTCTGCATGCAAAGTAAATTAATGAAATATAATGATCTGGGGTTTTTTTTGAGTGGAAGTTAAAATCTTCCTTCTCGCCTGAACCACACAAATGGAAGCCATGATGGCTAGATGGGTATGGAGGTGATTCCTAACCAGGTGATCAAGGGTTTGATACATGTGTTGTCCAACAAAGTTCCTCTTGATTTTCCAGCCTGCTTTCCCCTTGTCTCTGGTTCAAACAAGACAAATGTATACTATCTGACAGTAGTTAAAGATACACTGACAGTTTAAACTGAAACAAGAGTAGTCCTCAGGTTCACTATCCAGGCACTCCCCAGTTGTACGTGACAAGGAGTAGGGTCACCTGTCTAGCCTTGTGGGTTTTCTCTGGGTCCTCCGGTTTCCTCCCACTGCTAAAGACCCCTGCGCATAAACAAATTATTTAAATAAAATTGAAGTATATGTTAGTCCCAAAATAAACTAGACTGTGTCGATTGGACGGCAAAAACACCATTTTTCTCTCCCACTGTCCAGGCACAATTTCGGTAACAAAACCATACCCAACAGTATCAATCTTTGCCTGGTCGATGTAGGTGAGTATTTTTTTTTAAATCAGGTAAAGTTTCCATTCTACATACCTCTCTCTGTATACTGGAGACTGATTTATGTGTGAACATTATCATGCGTATAACTTGTGCTAATTCTGTACACATATCTGGTGATTTAAGTACATCATTATCAGCCAAAATCTGTATAGCTATTAATCCTTTCTTCTGTATGTCTAAATAAATATAAAATGTAAATATATGTAACATTAAAATACAGATGTAATGTCATCTTTTAATGTTGGCATAAAATCCTACATTATCTTTACTAGATGAAACATTGGGGGGGGGAGAGAGAGAGAGAGAGAGAGAGGGGGGTCCACTCGACACAAAATAGGTTATTTCGGGACTAACACATGGTTCACTTTTATTTCAATAATACACTTCCACGTAGGGGTCTTTAGTAGTGGGAAATTCTAATTTCTTGAAACCGGAGCCCGGCATCAGGTATATTGTGAAAAACATGATACTGTAGCGAAAAAAAAATTCTTAGAGTTCCATTCATAATCAAGAAATGATAGCCATGGCTACTCATTTCCAGGGTTAATACATAAAATCATACAAAAAAAATTGTTTTTTATAAAAAAAACAAAAACTTACTAATATAGTATTGAAAGTTGAGCAATCCTCTGATGATTTTTTCAACAGCTCTGTAATAATTCAGCACCTCAGCTCCACTGGCTAAAAAAAAACCAATTTAAGCAAAATTATATTATCTACCATTAGGCCTCACAAAAAAATATTCTGACTCTCAAGACAGTCATTGATTTCGGTGTTTTTATGTCGTGAAAGCATCATATGGCTAACATGCCTGGAAATAAGGCCGATGTCACAGATAATGTCAGGCACAGATTCAGGCTTTGTCAGGCACTAAACCTCTGGTGCCTATATTTTGTCTGGCACTATTTGTCTTTTTTATTGATATTATCAATATATATCCACCACTATATTTCTATGTCAATAATGATGTTAATAATATTATAGAAGTTTCAGTTTGGTAATTGGACTCATTAAATGAAAAACAAAAAGTTTATGGAATACAATAATTGAATTTAAATTTATGCAATGTTTCAACAATGATTCTCTTGTCTGAAACATTGCCCCAATTAAATTCTTTTGTGCTTATGAGCGTAATATCGGTAAGAACAACACTGCTGAAACTTTAAGTTGCTCCTATTAAAGGAGGCAACTCTTTAACTCAATATCATTCACAGTCTTCGACATTGCAAACACGACTTATTAGTCAATTTATATCAACATTGATGTTGTTATCTTACCGTGAAAAGATGAACTTTTGATATCCAATATTTCAGACAAAATAAAAAATCTTAAAATTGGCACACAAATTGCGCGCCAGTATGCTTTCAAGCACCATTTGCAATGAAGTGACTCGGTGAATGGGGATATATATATCCCAGAGAACAATGCTACCGTTGTAGACTGGAATAACCAGACGTCAAAGACTGCCATTCAATTTTGCACTCATGTATTTCACCAAACATAACTGATTAGAAATTACAGTAAAAACAGAAACGATTGAATGTAAATCAGTTTATATACATTCATATTACATATTACATTTGTGTCCATTTCTAGGTACCAAAGAATAGCAATTTAGCTCCTTTAAATTTATTAATTGTATTCACAAAACACAGAACTTTCATGAATATTTCACAATCATTATCTTGTCGTTATCAAGCACAAAGGGCACCATAATTATTACTGATACTTTGCTCCTATTAAACTCAGTGATTGTATTCCATGTATGTTTTGTGTTTTATTTTATTGGTGATAATACCTGCTCCTCCTAGAACAGCTATAGCCTCTATACCAGCTTCCTGTATAATCCTATCATCGGGGAAATTATCTAATATACTTAATATATGTAGATGTACCTTCTCTACAATACATTGATGTCTTATTACATCTGAAACATACATATTACTGGTTAATACATCCATGGAGAGAGAGAGAGAGAGAGAGAGAGAGAGAGAGAGAGAGGGTTTAACCACCGACACAAACTAGGTCGTTTAGGGACTAACATATCTTTCAATTTTATTTCAATAATTCGCTTGCACATAGGGCATCTTTAGCAGTGGTAGGAAAAAGGAGGACCCAGAGAAAACCCACAAGGTTGGAGAGGTGACCCTACTCCTTGTCACATACAAACAGGGAATCAAAACCACGCCAGTTGACTCAATGACAGACCTTCTAATACAATGAGCATGCGTTAACCATACAGTCAGTCAACCACCCCTAATACATGAATGGACCTACAATTTATTTATATATATATATATATATATATATATATAATGAAATGAAATGGGGTTAAACAACCTACTGTTCTGCTCCGACTGGGCTAATGAAGACGAACTATATATATGACTGATGATTGGGAATCAGACAAAATGAAATGGGGTTTATTGTTATTCAATATCTTACTTTATTGCACAAACAGCACAGAGCAGACACCATGCAATGTTCTGTGAGGGTAATTTTGCCTTGACAGTGGCACAACAGCCTACTCTTATTCTGATTTCTAACTGTCAGGGGATCTTTAACGTACTGCTAATGGTGTAAAATCATTAAGAACAATAATTATACACGTGCAATTTGCGTAAATATGAAAGATGAAAATATATCATTATATAGGAACTTTATACTGACCATCTGACAGATGCATATACATTTCATAACAATAATAAATATTCAAAATTCATTCTCAAGGCTATAAATAAATCGGTTAAAGCTGCTGATATTCATTTGATGGGTTTTAAATCCCTTGTAAAATAAAATACAGTAAAATTGAATCTCTGTAAAGAATTTTTTCGCACAAGCGTTATTCAATTCCCTTCAGTATTGAGTAAAACCTTTTGATGCCCCACCCCTTCACCCCCCTTTGGAATGAAATGAAAGGAAACAGAGTCTAACGTCCTACCGTTCTGCTCCGAACTGGGCTAATGAAAATGGGCATACGCCATACAGTGTGCTATGAGGGAAATTTTGCCCAGACAGCGGTATTGCGGCCTACTCTTATATTGAATTCCAACTGTCAAGGGACCTGGTACATTCTCGGCAATGTGTACACGGGACCTCGGTTTTTCGTACCATTCGAATGAATAAACAGCCACCCTTGTCAGGCCCTCCCGTCCTGCATCACTGACAAGGAGGAACCACGCCGGAAAATCTGGATGAACTTTCCCGGCCAATGCAGGGATCGAACACCCGACCTCCAGGCTAGCGAGCCAGCGTCCTACCCACTTAGCTACCGTGCCCCCTCCCCCTTTGGTTTTGTTTTTTTAATTAAATGTTAAACAATAAATCTATATACATATTAAGAGTGAATCATTAGATATTGTCCAAAATATTAGAATGAAAATCAGCAGCTTTATGGATGCCATTAATAAACAAGTTAAATTATTAGTAATAAAAAAGATGTGGATGATGTCTCACCAATATCAGCCAAACACGTAATAGTGCTTACAACTTCACTTAACACTCCAATATCTTGTCCATACCGCCGTAATATAGTCACCAATATTTGTAATACATCATCATATTCCGATACAATCAACTTGTTATCATCACTATATACAAAAATATCTGATATAATCAACTTGCTGTTATTGCTATATACAAAAATATCTGATATTATCAACCTGTCGTCATCACTAGATACAAAAATATCTGATATTATCGACCTGTTGTCATCATGCTATACAAAATTATCTGATATAATCACTTTTTTGTCATCACTAGATACAAAAATATCTGATATAATTGACCTGTTGTCATCGCTATGTACAAAAATATCTGATATTATCGACCTGTCGTCATCGCTATGTACAAAAATATCTGATATAATCAACTTGTTGTCATCGATACATATAAAAATATCATATCATTAGGGCTGTTACGATACACCTATACATTGTGTATAGAAATGAAATGAAATGAAATGGGGGTTTAATGTCCTGTTCTGCTCTGACTGGGCTATGAACATGTGAGTGCATAATTGAAATACACTTTTCCAAGATACAATACCAGATACATTAAGTTGACTTTCATGACGCAAAGGAAAAATTTTATAAGTATAATCAGTATTACTAGGATTACTACTATAGCCTACAACACAACAAAACTATCTAAACCCATAAAAACTACTAGCAAATGTTGACTATGATCAGAGATAGATAGAAACTGAGGAAACTGGTTGGTCTGAATAGTAACTCCGCTCACGTCTCCAGTGGCACGGACAAACAGTATATCAGACTGTGCCTTGTAAACCAGTTCCTATTGGCTAGCTGGGCATGTGCCTTGTAAACCAGTTCCTATTGGCTAGCTGGGCCTATGCTAAAACTTGACAGCAATATATTAGCTCATGTCACCCGAGACTTGATAAAAACTGTCCGCAAATTTCTCTCATAGCACACTGCATGACATATGCTCGTCTTCATTAGCCCAGTCGGAGCAGAACAGTAGGATGCTAAACCCCATTTAATTTCATTATTGTATTGTATAAAGAGTATTGCTTTTGAAATACACATCGTATCACAAGGCTGGTGTATCATCTACATCTCATTAGTAAGAATTAAAACATTGTTAAAATTAGGTATGAAATTCATGCCATGATGCAATGCATTTTAACATACCGGTATTCATTCATCAATTAATAAAGCTTTGCCATTCAAAAAAACATGCTGTGTACAAAAAAGTTAAGTGATTATCTTTATAAAACTTAAAATTACTGCTACTTACTGAAATATACATAAGCCTCTTAGAGCACGACAGGATGATGCTAGAGCAACTGGGGAGGATAAATGCAACTTCATTCCCTCAATTATAGCAAAGTGAGAATTCTTTTGTATTAAATTTTTACATAATGCATCTGAAATAATCAAAGTGAAAACCAAATACATGTACATGCATTATCATGTATACAACAGTTGATCAACAGCTTGCTTTAGAATGAAAATGAAATGGGGTTCAATGTCTTAGTTTTCATCTGGGAAAACACCATGCATTGTGCAATAAGTGCACTTTTTGATCTACTTTTAACTCATTCCAACTCTCACATGTATACAGGGTCTTTTTTTAGTTTAGTCAGATGGGTTGGAACCTGGCGTGGTTTCTATTCCCTGGATCCACGTGACAAGGAGTAGGGTCGCCTGTCCAACCTCGTGGGTTTTCTCTGAGGCCTCCGGTCTCCTCCCACTGCTAAAGACCCCTACGCACAAGCAAATTAGTGAAATAAAATTAAACCTTATGTTAGTCCCGAAATGACCTAGTTTGTGTCCAGTTAACCCTATTTCTCTTTCTCTTTTAATCCGATTAAATCCAAGCTAGGAGATTATCTACTGTTGATATTTTGCTTTTGTTTTCTTAAATGTGGTTTAATGGTCAAGAGCGAGACATTAAGTAATATACTAAAACAACCTGAGGGACGTTAGCCCTGAGTTGTTGTTTCAATATATTACACAATGTCGTAAGCTCGAGACCATTAAACAACTTAAAATACAGACACTCGCACTTGCTTTGCCATGAAATACGTCACACAGGTCAAAAATTTCAACTAGTATAAATAAAGTACGCTTAGCACATTGCCCGTAATCATAAATTTGAAATAATGGTACGCCAACACCAAAGGATGGCGTCACATCTGTATTTTAATCAATGTTAAATAATCAAGTTGAGTATATTCTAGAGTGGAATGAAAAGTTACCCACCATTATCAGCAGCTAAGTAGAAAAAACAATCACAGGCTGCTGCATACAGTTCTTCAAATTTAGAATACATCAACAAGGTACCTAGACACAATGAGTGAAGGGGATATCTGAAAATATTCAAAACATATTTAGCAATAATAAATACTATATATATGATATGTACATTTACAATATGTACATTAGTCAGTTATAACACCTGTGGCATCTAGTTTCAGAACACTTCAAAAGTTTATGTTTACTCCAGAATTTATTGATAGTTGTGGAGGCAGAGGCAGTTAAGTGCGGATAAATTGGTACCTTGTCATATGGATGAGATGAAAAACTAAGGGCTACCCATGGTACGCATGTGAAAGAACCTGCGACAGTTGAAATTTGATAAAGAGTCAGCGGCGATGTTTCTTTCAATAGAAATTCTCCTCTCGAATGTTAACCTCAGAATTACCAAAGTATCATGGAGATGTTAAAACTCTTCCTGTTCCTTTTATTGCCCGTACAACCACCTTGATATCAAATAAAGGGCTTTACTAGAATAGAAGTAACAAGGAAGAATATCAAATAAAGATAAGGTAATTAGTACTCACTGTTTTAAATCTGTGCTTTCCCCAATCCACATATATGCTTCAGGTTTACAGCATAATAATTTACTCAAAGCCATACAAGAAGATTTCTGAAAATACAAAATCAAGTATTGGTAGTATTACAAAGGCATCTTTCTAAAACAATTTTAGAACATAAGTTGATTTCTTCTTGAAGTTATTGCCAACTGTCCATCAAACTAGCATATAGCCAAGCCTGGAAATAAGGCACCAGTCACAGACATTGTCAGATACCAATTCAGGCTTTGTAATGCACGACAACTGATTGTTGCCTGTCAATTTGTCTGCCGCAGATTTGTAATTTTTCTGCATTTTTATTGATTTTATTAATACATGTTTGACTAGATCATCAGTGCCGGCTGGATCATCAGTGCCAGACATTTTGGTAGGTACAAATAATATAACTGTATTCAGACCTGCATATAGCATTCACAGTTAAATTTCCATGTCTACAAATAGCATGAAACTATTAGTCACAGTAAAATCATTATATCCCGGTCTACATATAGCATGAAACTATCAGTCACAGTAAAATCATTATATCCCCGTCTACATATAGCATGAAACTATCAGTCACAGTAAAATACAAAACTTACAAACCTGTACCAGAGGTGAATCTAAGTGTTGTGACATACTGGTGTATATAACACGAGTCCAATTAGATGCTAAATCGGCAGTGTCAAGGTCTTTAAATAGTTCAGAAGCTAGAAATAACATTAACAAAATATCAATAAAATGATTTAATTAAGGCACTTGTTCCTCAGGAATCACCTTTTGGACATATTTACCAGCTTGACTGATTGGTCATATGAGAGAGAGAGAGAGAGAGAGAGAGAGAGAGAGAGAGGGGGGGTTTAACATCCACTTGACACAAACTGGTTCAATTCTATATCATTGATTCGCTTGCGTGTAGGTGTCTTTAGCAGTGGGAGGAAATACGAGGACCTGGAGAAATCACACGAGGTTGGACGATTGGTCATGAAATTGACAAATTGGAGAACATACTTTGTCAATCAATGTACATTCTTGAACATCACACACCAAATACAGCTAAATTTATGTGTACAAGACACTTCAAATTGATTTTAAAATTGAGATAGCTCTTAAAACTGCCATGTTTTTTTTTTTTTAAATAAATGTCTTGAAAATGTGAAATAAAGTAAATAATGAAATTTACTAGCTGGCAAGGTTTTTAAAGTAGAGCCTTGATGCAGTTCACTATAAGGAGCGTGTGACATGGCTTCCAAAGTCTCAACACCACTAGATAGAAGTTAAATATAACTATAACATTGTATCACATAATCAGAGATGTTTATGCCAATCAAAGGAAGAAGCCAGGCAAGGAAAGCATCTGGTTGTTCAGATGAGATAAAAAACCGAGGTTCACCAGTGTTACTGTGCATGTAAAATAGTGATTAACGGTTCGAACTCGATGGGCGCACTGCATGGCACACGCCTGTCTTTATTATCCCAGATAGTGTAGAACTGTAGGATCTTAAACCCCATTTCATTTCATATTAGAACAAGACCCAATAATATACAGTACCGGTAAATTGGAATATTTCTAAACCCAGCATCTGTATCTCAGCTTCTTCTGGTTGACTAATCAGTGTTGGAAACAGAATATCCATCATAAAACCAGACTGAACTTCATCATTACAAACTGTTTCTGTAAAAATAAAAACAAGTGGTTGCCATGCAAGAAACACCCACATTTTGCAAGAGATGGACAGAGAACAAGATAAAGCCAGCGGTTGCTATGGAAGATACGCCAACATTTTGCAAGAGATGGACATAGAACAAGCTAAAAAGGAAATTTTTCGCACAATCAGGGACCATAATCCTGACTGTTACGTTCAGATACTTGCCAAAATCGACATAAACCCAGGTCTTTGGGATATAAACCTAATTTCAAGTTTCATCAAAATCGGATAAAAACTATTAGATGTAGAGTGTTCACAAAGAAAATGTGGACAGACACAGATTGATGACAATATACGTCCACATGAAAATGTTGGCGTAAAAAAACTGCATAGAAAGATGTATAGCCACATTTCTGTCAAGGGGGTGTGGCTCTCCTTGCTCTGGGTAGAGGTTCATTAACCTTAAAGACAGTAAAAGATTCATACAAGCTTTATAAAATCTTACCTGAAGACGAAAGAAGAACCAAAATTTCCAGACTGGACTTTACAATATCATCAACTGCTGATTTTACAAACTGCATCAACTTTAAATGGACATTTTCAATCACTAATTTTGTATGGCATTCTTCTGTAAATTGAAATCTTGTGTAAAAATATTTCAAACTAAATTAGGAAATATTCTCAGAATTATCTCCCCTTTAGTGTGTCAAGGGAGATAATTCAAAAAAACAAAATATGCTTTATGATTTAGAAGCAGTTTGCAATTATTGACATTCAACACAGAAAGACCACAGGGTAATAATCATTATCATCTTATTGTAGCACTGGAATGGCTGCTCAAAGGCAAAAATTACAATGTCACAAGTACTCATTAATAATGACTTCCAAAAACATGAATTTCTTAATCTGACTGAATCCAAGAGAGAGAGAGAGAGAGAGAGAGAGAGAGAGAGAGGAATGGGGTTAAACTCGACACAAACTAGGTCATTTCGGGACTAACATATGGTTTAATTTTATTTCAATAATTTACTTGCACGTAGGGGTCTTTAACAGTGGGAGGAAACCGGAGGACCCGGAGAAAACCCACGAGGTTGGACAGGCGACCCTACTCCTTGTCACGTACAACCGGGGATTCGAAACCACGCCAGTTGACTCAATGACAGGCCGTATGATACAGCACACACACTGAATCCAAGACTGGAGATTATCTATCGTTTGTATTCTGATTTTGTTTTCTTAATTAAATGTTAAATAATCAATCTAAGTACATATTAGAGTGGATTATGCTGCGAGAAACTTGATAATATCCAAAAAATGGGCAAATCATGACATTACAACTTAGACACTTTTTGATAGACAGGAAGAAGATTTAAACAACAAACTAAATTTTACTTACCATTATGAGCTAGTATGTTTATGATAATTAATATCTTCTCTACAATATCTGGTTTAGAACTATTAATAGACAGAGAATCCATCACTAGTTGATAATATTTCTTCATCATTTCTTTCTTGGTTTCATCATCTTTATTCAATAAAATAATAACATTGTGTAAGACAAAAAAAATTGATTGCTTTAAAAGAAATGAAATGAAATGGGGTTTAATGTCCTACTGTTCTGCTCCAACTGGGCTAATGAAGATGGGTATACATCAATTTTGACCAGGCGGCGGCACTATGGCCTACTCTTATATCGAATTTCAACTGCCAAGGGATCTTGTATGTGCATGCCAATGTATACACAGGACCTTGTTTTTCTGTAATTATAATCAGATGTCTTGTCAACCCAATACTTTTGTCATTTAAAGATAAAGGTATCATTGTTCGCCCAACACAAGGCAGAAGAATTTTGCCCAGAGAGAGTCATTTACTCCTACCTTTTTTTTTAATTTGAATTGTCAAGAGTTGTAATTGTAATCAGACGAAATTGTAATTGGAGGTATTGCTTGACCATTTCATCATGTGAGTTTTGGTCACCAATTAAGTCACCACAAACTATAGCAACTTTACGTAGGACCCGACTATCGTTTCCCATTCTATTATTAGAATAGTCGAGTAAAGAAATGGCACAGTGAGCTAGTAACCATAGTAACCAGTAGCAAAAGGGTTACATTATTTACTAGATCATTAAAAGACAATGTTGTTGTCCACAAATTCTACATATATGATAGAATTGGTTAAACGCTTCCTGATTTGTCGAGTCAGGAAGTGTTGCAAATAATGAAAAGGGGAGGAGAGAGAGAGAAAGAGAGAGAGAGAGAGAGAGAGAGAGGGTTTAACGTCATTTGACACAAACACTGTCATTCTGGGACCCACATATGGTTCAATTTTTTTTCAATAATTCACTTGCAGGTAGGGGTCTTTAGCAGTTTGAGGAAACCCACAAGGTTGGACAGGCAACCCTACTCCTTGTCACTTGACACAATGACAGACCTTTTGATGCAATGTGCTCGCGCTAAACATTCAGCCATCCAACTACCCCTGGCTTCATTAGCCCGGTTGGTGCAGAAGAGAGAAGAGTATGATGTTGAACCCCCATTTCATTTTTCATTTCATTTCATTTTTCTCTGCATTGTTCATTTTCTAAAAAGTTTCCCAAAAAAGTTTTATTGTATCAAATTTAATTCTCACATTTATCGGTTTTCTCTGCATTGTTCATTTTGTAAAAAGTTCCCAAAAAAGGTTCTATTGTATCAAATTTAATTCACACAGTTATTAGTTTTCTTGTGACCTTGTTCCTGTGTTAAATCTTAGACAACAATAAGATGTTGTTCTTCATTCTTTGTTAGATTGGGAATAATGTGTATATTATTGATCAATATTAATTTATTCAAATAAAAGAATGAAACATATGTTCTTAATTACTTAAATTCTTACCAAATCTTAGTAAATGTGCCAGAGATGCAAAGGCATAAAATTGAATTCCTTCATCATCCTTAAATACAGCAATACTTTTAAAAACCATATCTAATACTTCATATAATCTTCCTTCAGACTTTAGCTGCATTTTTATATAATCTGAAAACATACAGGAACCAAATTTTATCATTTCATTTTTTTTTACTTGAAAGAGCAAGGAATTTGACCACATATTTTTGTTCATCAATTGTCAATGTCATACTGCACCAAATACAATATAAATAGCAACATTCAATTTTTTAAATTAAAACTGGGTTTATTTTGAATTTTGAGAAACCCTAAAATCTTTCTTATTCAATGCCAAGAAATCTCATTAAAACACAGATCCTATTTCGTTTCGTTTTTTATAGTTCTAAATTTCGTTTTATTTGTCTGTACTACACTCGGATCTGGAAGAGTTGTTATTTAACCGGCTTTCTGGATGGCGTGAGTGATTAGCCAATGAAACCATCAGTTATAGCGACTTCTTGGCGTACCATGCACAGAACTGTGGATAATCCACTAGAAACGTCAACGTAGATTGATTAATCAATGTCTGACGTCATAGGGTCTAAAGCCGCTCGTACGACCCCTGGCGCAACCTTCCAGTACAGGCCATCGAAAGTGTAGTGTAGACCATCAAAAGTATAAACCAGCGGTTGCCAGGCAAGACAAATCAGGGGCCATAATCCAGGAAGTAACACTCCTATATGTGCAAATATTGACAGGAACCGATATCTTTGGGTAATAAACATACATTGCAAGTTTCATCAAAATCGGATAAAAATTGTGACCTCTAGAGTGTCCACAAGCTCAAAACATGATTTTCGTACAATCAGGGGACATAATTCATGAAGATATGGTCCGATACATGCCAATTTCGAAAGGAATCGAGATCTTTGCGAGATACACCTATATTTCAAGTGTTGTCAAAATCAGATAAAAATTGTGACCCGTAGAGTGTCCACAAACAAATCGTGAACGGACGGACGAACGGACGGACGGACAGACGAAAGGGGACAATATACATCCACATGAAAATGTGGGCGTATAAAAAACGAAATTATTCAACATTCCAAATACAAACCATCTTCCAGAAGACAGGAAAATATTTTCATTCCTCCTTTATGAATTTCTGGATCTGATATATTATTCTGTAAGACTTCCATTACATGACTAAAATCATACAAATAAATATACATTAAACATACATTATGCAAGAGCTAAATCTGTCTATTGCAGGTCTTTCTTTAGGCCTGTAAAAATTATATAAATTATTAATTAGACATTAATGAACCTATCCAGACCATAATCAACTCTAGATGGCATCTCTAGCCTGCGATCTTTAGTGGATTATGAGCCAATTTACTGCATAACTTTCCATCACAATTTAACGATTAAATGGATAATCGAGAAGATGCTGTTTATTGTACTGACTAGTAATGATGATCGAGGCTAGGCAAAAATTTCAATCGCTTAGTTCTCGGTTCATAGTGGATCAATTTGAATGAAATTTTCAGCAAATTGCCTTTACATTAGCTAGTTTTTAACTATTATAGTGAAAACTGCCAACTCGTCATCAAATCTCCCATAATGTATCATTAACTAAATGTTATAGGTTTTCTCCTTGTAATAATTGTTGTTTAATCTCTGTGTGTGATAATCAATATATTTTCTTCTTTCTTGTTCTGTCATTCAATTGATTATGCCAAAGTGCTGGATATGTGTGTGTGTGCTAATTAAGTATTTTGTGTATATGTATTGTATGCTGTCCTGGTTGGATGCTTTGATGCTTTGCAGCATGGTTGAGAGTATTTGCGCAACACTGAGTTTTTGCGCCCCCTCGCAAATGACAAACAATCATATGGTTTCAATGTGGTTTTCAACATTATAATCATAATGCTCAACCAGTGTCAAACATATACTGTGGGTCAGATATGCCACAAATCTATTCAAGCATGTTCCACACAGACCAATATTACCCAGTGGCTCTGGGAGCCGCTCCTCCGCACACACATATAAATATTGTTTCTTTGGGGGACAGGCAGCATCTTGTTCCTCATGCAAAATCATGTGTCACCATGCCCCTGGTTGGCATGCACATAAAAGAACCGTAAGACGCTGGCTCGCTAGTTCATCCAGATTTTCCAGCGTGGTTTCCCCTTGTCAGTGATGCAGGACGGAGGGCCTGACGAAAAACCAGGCAAAATTTCCCTCATAGCACACTGTGTGGCGTATGCCTGTCTTCATTAGCCCAGTTTAGGAGCAGAACAGTAGGATGTTAAACCCCATTTCATTTCATTTCATAAAAGAACCCTTGGCAGTTGAAATATGTTGAAAAGCAGGCGGAAAACGAGAAATAAAACTGTCTGGACAAAATATCTCTCATTGCATGGTGTATGTCTGATTTCATTATCTTAGTTAGTGCAGAAAACTAGGCCATTATACCAAATTTCATTGCATTTGTTTTCCTTTTTCTCAGTTCCAAAGGCAAACTTACCTATGCGTGTCTGAATTTTTAATACTATCTTATAACATACTTCTGTGAGATATAAAGGAACTTACCTATGCGTGTCTGAATTTTTAATACTATCTTCTAATATTCTTCTGTGAGATATAAAGGAACTTACATATGTGGGTCAGAGTTTTTAATACTATCTTATAACATACTATTGTGAGATATAAAGGAACTTACCTATGCGTGTCTGAATTTTTAATACTATCTTCTAATATTCTACTGTGAGATATAAAGGAACTTACCTATGTGAGTCAGAGTTTTTAATACTATCTTCTAATATTCTACTGTGAGATATAAAGGAACTTACCTATGCGTGTCTGAATTTTTAATACTATCTTCTAATATTCTTCTGTGAGATATAAAGGAACTTACCTATGTGTGTCTGAATTTTTAATACTATCTTCTAATATTCTTCTGTGAGATATAAAGGAACTTACATATGTGGGTCAGAGTTTTTAATACTATCTTATAACATACTTCTGTGAACTTACCTATGCGTGTCAGAGTTTTTAATACTATCTTCTAATATTCTACTGTGAGATATAAAGGAACTTACCTATGTGTATCAGAGTTTTTAATACTATCTTCTAATATTCTACTGTGAGATATAAAGGAACACAGAAGCTGCAAACCGATCTGATTATTTTGGAAGAAAAATAAAAAATATACAATATTATTCATATGGTAATAGCTTGTACAATTAACTGTTCTATAAAGCAGAACTTTTAAATAATAAAAAATAATAATAATCGTTTTCTATACCGCTGAACATTCAGTCAGTCTGACTGCTCTGTGGCGCTTTACAATGTAGATATGATCATAAAAAACATACATTTATATACCAATAAACAAAAGAATACAAAGGAATAGTCAAGTTACAATATACAAATAGAAAGTGAAGCATTTAAATTATAGGTCAAACGTTTGGGTAAAAAATAAGGTTTTTAGACGTCATTTAAATATAGCCAAGTTTGGACTTCCAGAGACAATTTGTTTACATCAAAATTTGAAAATCTGTCAATTTCAGACATATTCTGTATACTTGCAAGATATTTTTCCCAAAAAATAGACCATTTTTAGTAATACCACATATTTTTTATATATTATTATAAACTATAAATTTAACTGTAATACCACATTCTTTATAAACATAAAAGAGAGAGAGAGAGAGAGAGAGAGAGAGAGAGGGGGGAGGGGGTAATGTCCACTCAACACAAACCAGGTCATCTCAGAACTAACATACAGTTCAATTCTATTTCAATAATTCGCTTGAGCATAGGTGTCTCTAGCAGTGGGAGGAAACCAGAGAACCTGGAGTAAACCCACCAGGTTAGACAGGTGACCCTACTCACCTGGTAAACAAAGGTAGTCTAGTAAAGACATACTTACTAATTGTATATCATCAAAAGCCGATAAATGTTTCATTACAGATAAAACCAATAGATGTACTTGATTATTCTCCAAATATTTCTGAACCTCTGCTGTAAAAGGAAATAGAAAACAGAAAAAGATGTACCATTTACATACACTGTAACCCAGGTATCATTTAATCTTGTGTATCTACCACTAATTTCTTTCTCATTCGTTTAATATCCAATCTTTGTTTAAAAATTCGTAAAAACTGTTTAAAATCACCATAAATCGTTTAATTCGTACTTCGGTCCAGTTTAAATCTGACCATTCAATTTTGATAATGAGTGTCCAATTTACAAGCGTTTAATTTCTCAATCACTGTTAAAAATAAACAACCCAATAGATTAATGATGTATAATGATTAATGTTTGGACAGTGGTCAGGAAATTAAATACTTGTAAATTGGACACTCATTATCAAAATTAATCAGTCAGCTTTAAACGTAATTTTCAGTGGAAATAAGCACCTCAATCTGAATAAAATACAGATCTATATTTTGTTTCATTTTTTTTATACTTCCGATGGCCTCTACTACATGAAGATCTGACCAGTTATATTGGGGGGTCACGTCAGAGGTCATACGAACGGCTTTTGACCTTATGACATCAGACATTTGATTAACCAATCTGCATCGATGTTTCTAGTAGGATACCCACAGTTCAGTGCATCGCACTCCAAGAAATCACTAAAACAGACTATTTCACTGGCTAATCCCTCACATCAACCAGAATGCGGGTTATATAACAACTCTTACAGATCCTAGTGTAGTAAAGACAAGTAAAACGAAATTTTGAACTATAAAAAAACGAAACGAAATAGGGCCTCTGTGTTTTTATCAGATTGTTTTAGAGATTAAATTTTCACAATTAGAGACTTTAACCAATCCCTAAAGTAGATTAGTTATCTGAATTTGCTAGCGAGACGGTAAATCACATTCTTCCAGATCCTAGTACAGTACGTAAAGACAAGTAACACGAAATATTGAACTATAAAAAAACGAAACGAAATAGGATCTGTGTTTTAATAAGATTGTAAGAACCTGAATGATTAAAGATAATGACAAAAATATCAACATACTATGAGTAAATATTTGTAGATTCTGTAAACGAAGCAATCCATCTTTTAATTCCTCCACAACATATGACTGTTTTAAAGTCTGTAGTATCAACTCAGCAGCTTGTATGTGTACCCAATTCTCCTCATTTGGCCAAACTTCAAATCCGTTTTTATCTCTGGTTTCTGGTACTGGTGAACTACAACCGCTGTCATAGAAACCATGATTTGATTCCATCCTGTTGTTCACCATGATTATCTCATGGACCACAGAATACATGTAGCTTTATTCATCACTGAAAAACAATTTATATTTAACTTCAAAAATTTCACACGTGACATAAATTATATGGAATACAAGTCACATAAAAATATTTATTTCTGATGTACCGGTAGTCTCGACGAGGGTTCTCTCCTCTTTATCAAGCAAAGAATGACAACCATAATACTCCGAAGATATATATACACAATATTGAATGAGTACTCGTTGAAAAGTCACAAGAATTAAACTTCTAAGTACCAAGAGAAAGAGAGAAATGGGGTTTAACCTTCACTCGACACAGACTAGGTCATTTCGGGACTAACACATGGTTCAATTTTATTTCATTATCTTTTAGAGGCATTTAGTATCTGGATAGAGCAATAAACTATAACACATATTGTTCTTCCGTAAGTATGTGTTATAGTTTAATTTTATTTCAATATTCGACTACGAGTAGGAGTCTTTAGCAGTGGGGGAAACCGGAGGACCTGGAGAAAACCCACAAGGTTGTCATGTACAACCGGGGAATCAAAACCGCGGGAATTGACTCAATGACAGACCTTATGATACAGCACGCACATGCTTATCATTCGGCCATCCAAACCCCTATTCTTTGGAACCTAAAAATCAACGATAATAGGTCAAAGAGTACATTATAATGTCAGATTATTGTAATTTTTAATCAATTATGTTCGGTGAAATAACTGAACAGTCAAAACTGAACGACAGTCGTTTACATCTGCTTAGTCCATTCTACACGATTTTTTTAATTATTATTTTGTCGTTTGTAAATCAATCTTACTTATTACTGCCACATTGTCTTGTAGGATATGATTTGCTATGTTCATTACAAATGGCACCCGAAACCAAAGAATACACGACTTGTGTATTGATTTTAAAATGTTCATTATATCTTAAATATTGGATATCAGGATCTCATAATTTCACAGCATGGTAATAACATCAATACTGATTGAAATGGACCAATACTGAATTCTAATTTGTGTTTTTATTTTCAAATATTATGGAAATAATTGAGTTAGAGGTTCAGCTCCATTATAAAAAACAACAATTTATCACCTATAATATTACTCAAACATCACGAGACATAAATATACCATGAATATTGTTTTGTTTTCTTAAACGTATAAAGTCAAATAATAAATCATACAAATGTTTTGAAGATGTCAAGGTGATTTTTTATTTTTTTTTTGATAAAATTATTCATAAACCTGTTATGACATAAGACGATTAATATTTCACTCAACAGTAAAATCCATTAATTTTCCCGTCTTTAATTGTCAAGGACAATTTTTTACATCTTGCTAAATATTTTGAGGAAAATGACATCATATTCTCAAATAAAACTTTTCCCTAAATTTTTTTAGTTTGTATTGTTTTGCAAAGTCAGTAAAGTAACCATTCCAGTAAGTTGCTTAAAGATGCATTACGTAAGAGCTAAATCTGCCTATTACCGGTCTTTCTGTTGGCTTCAAATGTTATATAAATTATTATTTAGGCATTTATTCACATGACAAGCATATAATCAACTCTTTAAACCATTGGATGGCCAAGATTTAAGTGGATTTGAACAGCTGCAAGATTTAAACGAGAGCATCGCTACCGCTGCAATATATATGTACGGCCACATTCCTGCTTTGATTGATATGGTACTTTTTTAAATGAAGAGAATGAAATATGAAATGGCTGTAATATGACAAGAGGCAAAGAAGGCCAAATTTACAGACTAAATATTAACAAAAAAGTGGGTATGACACTGCCCCAAGGGGTTAGCATGCACCAAAATAAATAGTTGCTGTATTTACGGTTTAAGGAATAAATATGCAAAGTTCCAAGATGATCCATTCAGAATTGTAGTCTGTAGATGATAAATACAAAAATTGGGCGTGGCTCTGTCCCTGGGGATTGGATATGGAACAATATAAACAGGTACAACCCTGTTATTGAAATGATTGATTGCCGAACTTTAACAAAATCTGTAGGGTATTTACTGACAAAAAAATTAACAAAAGATTGGATCGGGACATGCACCAAAATAAATAGTTGCTATCCTTACGGTATAAGGAATAAATATGGTATGCTAAGTTCCAAGATGATCCATTTAGAATTCCAGCCTGTAGAATTCCAGAATTTGGGCATGGCTCTGCCCCTGGAGGCTGGACATGGACCAATACAAATAGTTACAACCCTATGATGGATTGTTCCGAATTGGATCCAAATATGTTAATAATTGCAACCTGTAGATTATCTACTGACAAAATATTATCAAAAAATGGGTGTGGCACTACCAAAGGGTGTCAGATCATGAACTGAAATCAATAGTTGCCGTCTTTAGGGTAAAAGGAATAAGTATACCAAGTTCCAAGATAATCCATTCAGAATTGTGGCCTTCAGATGCTAAACACAACCAGCGGCTGCCAGGCAGGATACGCCCACATTTTCGAGAGATGGATAGAGAACAAGCTAAAAAGAAAGTGATTTTTCCTACAATCAAGGGCCATAATTCATGAAGTTACAATTCGATATGCACAAATATTAAAGGAACCAAGATCTTTCGGTTATAAACCTTAATATACCATATTTCTACACTATTCGCTTACAAGCGGCGGCAATTTTGTCCGGCAGTTTTGGTTTGATTTTCGGGAAATTCGAACTCAACCTTCATTACAGTGTAATGGTGATATAATCAAACGTTTTTTTTAAATCAGATAATAATTGTGACCTCCAGAGGGACCACAAGCTAAAAAAGGCGATTTTTCGGACAATCAGGGGCCATAATTCAGGAAGTTACGATCCGATGGACACAAATATCGAAAGGAACCAAGATCTTTGGGTTATAAACATGCATGTCAAGTTTCATCAAAATCGGTTCAAAATTGTGACCCTTATAGGGTCCACAAGCTAAAATTGTGATTTTTCGTACAATCAGGGGCCATAATCCACGAAGTTTCGATCAGACACATGCCAATATCGAAAGCAGACGAGATCTGTTGGAGATAAACCTATATTTAAAGTTTCGTCAAAATCGGATAAATATTATTGTGACCTGTAAAGAGTCCAAAAACAATTGTGGACGGACGGACTGTGGGTTGACAATATACGTCCACATGAAAATGTGGGCGTATAAAAAAATGTACGTGGTTCTGCCCCTGGGGATCGGGACATGCACCAAAATCAATAGTTGCCGCCCTTAGACTCTAAGGAATAAATATGCCAAGTTCCAAGATGATCCATTCAGAATTGCAGCCTGTATACGATCAACACAAAATGTGGGCGTGGCTCTGTCCCTTAGGCTATAAAGAATACATATGCCAAGTTCCAAGACCATCCATTAAGAATTGTGGCCTGTAGACAACACACAAAGAAAAAAGGGGTGTGGCACTGCCCCTGGGGATTTGGCTTTCACCAAAAACAATAGGGATCATCCTGAGGGTATAAAGAAAAAGAATGCAGAGTTTCAAGAGGATCTGTTAAGAACTGTGACCTGTAGGCGACACACACACACACATAAATTGCACCTGTCTCCATCCCTGGGACGATGGCACGCTACCCTGGAGGTCGTGTATACTTTCCCTGATTTGCCCGAGAAAGTTCTTCAGGATTTTCTGAGGGGGTTTCCCCTTGTGGTGCAGGACATCGGGCCTGACAAGGACAATTGTCTAGTCATTCGAATGGGACAAAAAAAATTAGGTCCTGTTTATACATTGGCATGCAGGTAAAAGATCCCTTGGCAGTTGGAATTCGATATAAGAGTAGGCTTAGTGTCGCTGCCTGGACAAAATTCCCCTCATAGCACACTGTATGGTGTATGCCTGTCTTCATTAGTCTAGTCAGAGCAGAACAGTAGGATGTTAAACCCCATTTCATTTGTCCCTGGGGGTCGGGCTTGCACCAAAAATAATAAGAGGCCATCCTTAGGGTATAAGGAATATGTATTAAAAGTTTCAGAAGTGCGGCCTGTAGGCAACACATAGACACATAAAGAGAAAATAGGCACGGTTTTCAAGTACTGTTGCTACGATAATCAACGATTTATGCTCTATCTTCAAACAGTCCTAACTTTGCTCAGAATAAAGTAATTTAAATGAAAATTTCAAAAGATATATTTTTCATTATATATTTTTGAACTATTATAGCAAGAACAGACAGCTCTTTATCTAAGTTTTACATAATTCATCTTTAAAGGATGATGTTGTGGTTGATTTTACATTGTCAAGGTGATAATTTACCTTTTGTTGAATTTATGATGAATTTAATTTAAATCTGATTTACCTGGATAAATCTTTCACTCAGTAGTAAAATTCCTAAATGTATCTGTCTATATTAAAAAAGATTTTCACATTGTATTCCTGAATAAATCTTTTCCCCCAAAAAAGTTATATTATTGTATTATTGTGCAAAGTCATTCAAGGTAAACATTCCCCAACAAACACAAGTCCAGTGAATTGTTTAAAGGATATTTTAAAGGTATTTGATATGGTTGAGAGAGAGAGAGAGAGAGAGAGAGAGAGGGAGGTCATATTGGGACTAACATATAGTACAGAATCTGTACTACAGATTTATTTCAATAGCTCACTCCGCACAGGGGTCTTTAGGCTGGGTAGGCGACCCAACTTCTTGTCATGTACATGCTTGAGATCGAAAACCAACCCACTTGACCACCCAATCCCCGCTAGTCTAGATTTAATTCACTTCCGGATATATCTCTGTTTTCATAAACCATCAGTGTGAAGTCATTATTGTGTATGAACACAAAGCCAATAGTTTGCTTTGAAAAGAAAGATCTATTACCTGGTTACCATAAACAATTTCTCTGAAAAATATTTATTAATGCAAAAAGGTGTGAAGTAATAAATGGTATAGGTATACGGTATAAACGATTTCTCCAAAACAATTCATTAATGTGAAAAATGTGAAGTCATAAATTATCCACCAGCAAACACAAGGTAGATCGGATGTAAATACGGAATACATTCACATTATATAAACCACATAACAATTACTATCTCTATTTTTATCTTAGTCATCATCAGATAACATTTATAATAAGTATATAGAGATTGTATATATCGGTACAGTATTTAACATACCTTACATATTCACATTTTATAAAGTTTTAAATGTGTGTCTTAGTCTGAATTAAGCCCAACTGTTGTTGAGTAAGGAACATGAAGTAAGGGTAACTATTAATTGTTGCCAATTGGAATATTCATGTTTCAGTAATTTAATAGAATAAATTGACATTTTACACCACCAACTTAAGTTCTTTTGTATAGGCCGGGGTGGGTGTTGTTGGAATCTGAAAACACATATGTAACTTTGTCTTTTTTTCTGCAGAGGTGTCAACTTTATGGAAGACCAAACAGCTCTTTATTCAGTGTTCTTTCTTCTTTGTTCTTAATTCATAATGCTTATTATGGAACTTAGTTAAGGTATTGAGGTGATAAAACCATACACCAAGTGTCATCACTCTCACTTAATTAGAACTAAAGTTATCGTGTCCCAAAGCATCAACCAATCAAATTGTTTATCTCTGCTTACCGTAAGCAGAAAATTCTCATCTTCTAACTCCCAACTCATTCGAGGCATTCATCTAATAAACACCTACGCCAAGTGTGAATATTCTAGCTAAATTAGAATGAGAATTATTGTATTCCAAAGTCTCGACCAATCAAATTGCTTATCGCTCTGCTTACCCTAAGCAGAAAATGCTCATTATCGAACTTAGTCAAGGTATTGATGTAATAAAACTATACACAAAATTTTATCACTCTCACTTAATTAGAACTAAAGTTATCGTGTCCCAAAGCATCAACCAATCAAATTGCTTATCTCTGCTTACCCCAAGCAGAAAATGCCCATCTTCCAACTCCATCAAGGCAGACAGACGGATGGACGAACCCATTTTAATAGTCCCCTGCTTTCTTCGAAAGGCGGGGACAATTAAGGGCTATGAATTAAGGACACTGACTAAAGAGCTGTTTGGTCTTCCATACAACTTAGCCCTAGCCTGTTCCCCAATCCAATTCCAAATGCAATAAAATATTGTTTATATACATAAAAAATATGTTTTTTTTATTTATCATTACTAATAAAATGAATGTACTAATTTATGAAAGATAATGTAATGTTTAGTTCAATTTATGAATATGATAAAGTCTTTTATTTATCATTACTAATATTATTATGTAATGATGTAAGACTGATAAATTACCATTGAGCCTAAAAGGCAAATGAATTCAAAGGCCAGAAAAACAAAAAAGACAAATAGAGTTTTAAAAACAAATAGTGTTTTAGAATGTAAACTTTAAAACCTCTGCACCGGGTCATAGTAATCTAAACATTCCAATAGCATTCTCAATCCGTTTCACAGAGAATTACGAGTAGTAATATCTCTGTCAAAGATGACTGCCTTAACACGTGCCCTCACAGCACGCGGGGTCAATCATTGGCTGAATGGCGCGTGCATTGTTTACATAAGAAGTTAATGCTTCGGGCGGAATGCTGCCTTTTAGTCATTTTAATACCCATTTACACTAAATAGGAAATAATTTTTACCTACAAATACGTCAAACGCCTTTATTAATTTTTCCCATACATAAAAAAAATGTTTTAGAATTTAATTTGTCGCAGGAAAAAAGTTATCGATGTCATCCTTATCAGTGATTGAAGTGGCCTAGCGAAAATTCACTGCTGATCAGTGTGTACCATTCTGTCACATGTTCTTGAAAGGGTGAACATATTCTGCCCTGCACAGAATGCAAATTAGATACCATGAATGTAATGAAAAATAGTTTCATTCAGATGCACTATATAGCAATGGTTCTTGCTGGTGTGCTGTGAGTGACTATGTATGAGTATCTACTAAGCATGTTGCAGTGCTCTTAAAAAATCAAGTTAGACACCAATAAATATCATAAAATTAAGCCCTAAATGTTAAAATTTGTTTCTGACTGTATTGAGTTTATTCAGGTATTGCAATATATATATATATATATATATATACAGACTAAGAAGATTTTGTTTTCGGTAGAAACATTGTTGAAAACTTTTAAATGGCATATAAAAGCACCAGCAGTAAAAGTGTTCAGAATCAATTATTACAGTATTTAAACATTACGATGATTACATAATAATTTTCCTCACGATTTTGTATTGCTGTATTATTAGCTTGATAACCTTGAGAAAATACTCTTTAATTGTAACCTCGCCCAAATAAATTAGTAGTTGTTTTTCCATAAATATGTGTTGTAGTTTATTGCTATATCCACTAACTATAAATACCCCTAAAATTGACTAAAAGATTACATCATTAAAGATTTAGTTCATTCCCAAAAACCTCCAGTTACCTTGGTGCCAAATAGCTTGAAAACCACTGATATACAGGTTTAAATTTAAATCAAAGAATAATATTAATTTTACTTACAAATTGAAATATATACACAGTATTGATGTTATCTCTGTATCAATGACTGAAGCAATAGTGCCAATAGGCTACCAGTGAATCACAGAGTAAATTTCATTCAACCTCTATAAATTTAAATGATTGTTATCTAAATTTTGAACTGGACACCTGAGAATCAAAGTTGTCATTTCCAATGACAATAATGGATATTAATGTTGGCATTAGTTTTTATGTCACTTCATGGTTCATATAAAATAATTTTAATTATAATATTTGCCCATTGCCACCTTAATTAGTTTTTAAAATGTGTCATATATAATGACACCCTTTTGTTATGCGGTAACTGACAGCTTATGCAGATGCAGTAATAAATAAAACACCTGTCAATTTGACGTAGACGAGATTACATAATCTACGGTACTCACTGCTCAGAGGGTTAGCGCAGTATAATTGCATACTTGATAATCGAGATATAATAGGCCATATATATGTCCTGCGTTGTCAGTTTTAATTAATTTTGACCGTCTATATAGGTAAATGGGGTCGCCGAATTACCTTACATTATTCGATGACAAACCAGTCTTAACTGGGATGGCAATGCCTTGAATTTTAAACAGCTGATTAGCGAGGTGAATTCCGGACATTTTTGTTTATAATGGCAATAGCTTATTATTATGATCAGACGCGGGCAACCACGTGATTAATTGACAAGAAAATATGCAAGGAAAACTTTAATTTCCTTTGATTATATCGATCTAATAAGGTACTATTCAAAGTGAACTCACCCATTGTTACTGCAGAAATAAATGACAGCAAAATTAAATGCCGAGGTTCAGACAGCAAACTTTGACAGCTCTCGTCGCCAATGAATCCATGACTTAAAATTGATGTTTATTGTTAAGAAGAAGCGCGTGACTCGTTCTCCTTTAGTGTGGGTTATCCAGTACCGTTAATTTTTTTATCAAATTTAAAGTGAAGCATGATAGGACTGGGGGATTTGTACTCTTTTTAATTGTAATAATGGCAGCAAAACAAATATCCATATCCTTGAGAAATGTTATATAAATATTTCAAAAAAGGTTGCCAGGCAACGAAACATACACTCATCTCAGAAATGGTGCCACTGATGTCAAATGACTGAAAAAATGTCATTGGCCAATAGTACCCTCAATTTCCACATAAACTGATTCAAAACTGTACTGCATATAGCTTAACATACCAATTCCCATTGAAATAAAGGTGAAGCCTAACCACATGATTTGATGAAAAAACCCTGCTACCCGAATTTTCTCTCCTATCCAACTTAAAATGTCCGCCTAGCCAGAAATAGCATGTGCACTCCATCTCAGGTGATAATAGTCACTTTACATGTATGGCATAAATAGTAAAAAAAAAGCCTTGTAACACTGCCTTATAATGCAAGCAATGGGCGGAGTTAACACCTGCAATATTTGGCGGTGGTGTCATGGCAGTTTGTACATTAAAGGAAAGATCACTTTTGAATGATGATGTTAATTTCTTACAGATATAGCATTCACAATATTCTACAAAGTGAAACAGAGACCATAACTCTAGAAATAATTAACAGAAATTGTTCTTCACTTCACTTATTTGAATAATGCATATCAATTACAGACAGATCAGTTAATAACTTTTTTAGTTGTTATATTCTCCTAAGTAAAACAAGGGCTAGAAGTAATTAAAATAATTTGTTGAAACTCAATAGGTTTCTTCACTGAACTAATTTGAATAATGCGTAAGACCCCTACACACAAGCAAATTATTGAAATAAAATTGTGCTATGTTAGTCCTAAACATATTGTGTTTTCCCCTTGTCAGCGGTGCAGGGCAGAGGGCCTGACAAGGACAGCTGTCTAGTCATTCGGATGGGATGAAAAACCAAGGTCCTATGTACACATTGGCATGCATGTAAAAGATCCCTTGGCAGTTGGAATTCGATATAAGAGTAGGCAATAGTGCCGCTGCCCGGGCAAAATTTCCCTCATAACACACTGTATGGCTTATGCCCATCTTCATTAGCCCAGTAGGAGCAGAACAGTAGGACCTTAAACCCCATTTCATTTCATTTCATTTCTCTCTCTCTCATATTTAATAATATGCACAAGAGAGACCTTTAATATGTCAATTAAGGTGGAGTTCTATAGTTTACTATGTAGCCTACTGTGATTGTAATACTAATGATTGTGTGGGATTGTCTATGTACTGTACAACCTTGAACAGATATACTATTGTAATGACCACAAAGAATACTTAAAATAACTTGTCCTAAATAAAAAATTCTTTGTGGATATATATTTCAATGTCTCTTTTTATTGTGTAGAATTTATACCAGAATGTATATACAAATAAAATCTTTCAAATCTCCACTCATATTGCAAAATAATGTTACAAGTATTATCTATTCAACACGGGAGGTGTATAGGTGGGTGGGTGGGGGAATAGAGAGATATGGGCTTAATAAGGACTTAACACAGACTAGGTCATTTTGAGGCTAACATATATATTTCTTTATTTCAGTAAAAAAATATATCACTTGATTTAACGACAGACCTTATGGCCTAAAGTGTTTGTTAGCCCACTCGGCCACCCAACCCTGCCTATCTATCAACACTGGAGGAAGACTGTAAAATGAAAGACAGAAATAAAACCAAAAATGAAACGGGGTTTAACTTCCTACTATTCTGCTGTGACTGGATTAATGAAGACACACATATGCCATACAGTGTCCTATGAGGGAAATTTTGCCCAGACAGTGGCGCTACTTCCTACTCCTATATCGAATTCCAACTGTCAAGGGTTCTTCTATGTGCATGCCAATGTTTACACAGAACCTTGGTTTTTCGTCCCATCTAAACAACTAGGCAGTTGTACTTGTCCGACCCCCCCGTCCTGCACAACTGTCAAGGGGAAACAGAAAAATCACAAGGAACTTTCTCAGCCAACACTGAGAACGAAGCCGAGACCTCCAGGCTAGCGAGCCAGCATCTTACTCACTGAGCCACTGCAGCCGGCAAATAAAAACAATGCCAAGCACGCCAACACTGAATCCAAATAACAAAGATAGTCAAAAGCTACTAACCAAACACAAAAATATGAAGAGGTCCAAAGGGGAAATTTAATAAGGGTACTGTAATCTCGACTAGAGTAGCCAGGGTGACTGAGGATAAAGATAGAAATTTTCAAGCCAAGTTCCTGAGTATACACATTGTCATGCACATTAAAGAGAGAGATTTAATGTCCACTCGACACAAACTGGGTCATTTCAGGACTAACATATATATGGTTCAACTTTTTATTTCAATAATTGGCATGCACTTAGGGATCTATCTGGGAGACGAAACTGGAGGACCTGGAGAAAACCAATGAGGTTGGACAGGTGACCCTACTCCATGTCACGTACAAGCTGGGATATGACTCAATGACAGATCTTATCAATTTAAAGCACACATATTAGATCATTCAGCCACCTGACCGATGAAAAAGAGAATCAAAAGGTATTAGATAAGAAGAGGTATCAAATGTTCTGGAAAGAATTGTCTGATGCTGTTGCAAAACATAAGAAAATTAAACTCTAAAACCTATCCATATTCAAAGGGCCAGTGGTAGGTGCAGGACTTGGCTAGAATAACCCAGGTGACCGAGAATAAAGAAAGGATTTTTCAAGTCAAGTATCAGGGCTAGGGTCTACGAGGTCCCATGTACACATTGGCAAGGGTCTACAAGGTCCTGTGTACACATTGGCTAGGGTCTATGATGTCCCGTGTACACATTGGCTAGGGTCTACGATGTCCCGTGTACACATTGGCTAGGGTCTACGATGTCCTGTGTACACATTGGTGTGCACATACAAAAACAGTTATGAATAGGCCAGTTCGTACAGAAAGAGAGAGCGAGAGATGGGGTTCAATGTCCACTTGACACAAATTATGTCATTTCGGGACTAACATATGGTTCAATTTTAACAGTGGGATGAAACTGGAGGACCAAGAAAAAACTTAAGAAGTTGGATGGCACACAAAAGTAGGACATTAGACCCCCATTTCATTTCATTACACATTGGCCGAGAAAGTTCATCCAGATTTTCCGGCGTGGTTCTCTCTTGTCAGTGATGCAGGACGGAGGGGCTGACAAGGAAAGCTGTCTAGTCGTTCGGATGGGACGAAAAACCGAGGTCCCGTGTACACATTGGCGTGCACGTAAAAGATCCCTTGGCAGTTGGAATTCGATATAAGAGTAGGCCGTAGTGCCGCTGTCCGGGCAAAATTTCCCTCATAGCACACTGTATGGCGTTTGCCCGTCTTCATTAGCCCAGGTTAGGAGCAGAACAGTAGGACGTTAAACTCCATTTCATTTCATTTCATTTCATTACAATGTAGAATAATAGTGGCGTTTCTTTAGTATTCGCATAATATAATATCAAACAAAAAGAAGACAAAATAGGATTGAAGATTTAACAAACCATTTATTAATTACAAAGGACAAATAATTATAAGTTAATATAAGATGTATTTCTGTTTTTAAAATAAGGCTCTTTTTAGATTTTGTATTTATATTTCACAAAATTTTATCATGTAAGTTACAGACTAATAACTAATTCGGAGGAACACCTGACACAACTGTATGGAATACAAATTACTTGGATGAACCATTGGTGTGTATAAATCTACAAGTAACTTATATTCCATATAATTGTGCCAGGTGTAAGTTATTGACTATGTGCTCAAATCATGAGTTTAGAAAAATAAACTGTTTTAATTGGGAAAGATAGGGTTAGATTAACCTTGGGGGCCTGGGATAAGTCGGGGAGGGGGGCTGGGATAAGTCGGGGGGTGGGGGGGGCTAAATTTAGAAAAAAAGTACAGGGTACAGTACGGCCCAGAAAATTTTGAAAAATAGATTCGAATTGGTTCATTCAGAGATGTATATCGGGCGTGTAACACAAGAATCTATTGGTCGTCCAATGAAACTTTGGATCTTGTACCCAACCCAAACAAATCTCAGGTCTACCTGAATTACTCTTAATTATCAAACCTCTTCACACATTGAGGACTCGATCTACGCTGAAACCAATGAAGCTTTAACTTCAGGACCCCTTATCTTACCAGAAACGAATTTAGTTGACATTTTGGTTTAAACTTTTAGGTCTTAAATAGGTTTTTTAAATTTATCAGGTAATATTAATATCTTGGTGAAATTGATAATTCTTCAAAACTGGGGGAATTTAAACAACAGTTTTTTTTTTATGAACCAAGCAGAAATCCAACTTATATGATATGATATATTATGATAAGCACCATTTCCTAAGTTTTATATTTGGCATATTGTAGTAAAAATTCAAAATATTATTTAAAATTGACAATCTGTTTCATGGAGCTATCTATCCACTAAAATAGACAATTTATTACATTTTCACGGAACTGTATTGAATAAATATATTAATCATGAAATTTTTTTAACTCAACAACAAAACAAAATTGTATAAGACAAAACGTTTAGAATATTTTGTTTATGGACATCATTGGTTACAATCGACAATGTACATTACATTTTCAAAGAACTATAGAATAAATATTAACTCAACAACAAAACAAAATTGTAGGAGACAAAAAGTTAAGAATATTTTGTTTATGGACATCATTGGTTACAATTGTAGTTTTGAAATGATTTGGCCATCAAGCATGAAAAATTTCTGCTTCAAGTGACATATACTATTTAAACTCTTTGCCATTTATTTCTCTTTTTTGTCTGCGATATCACCTCGGTGGAAGCGGACGTAAAATACAACTAACTAACAACAACTATTTCTCTTTCAGAATAAAAAAATTCCTTGTCAGAGTCACAGCTTTCATAACTTTGGAATTTATCAAAATGAAAAAATATTGAAAATTGTCTTC